TTCCTAGTGGTTTGTCCTCCAGGAGGTGAAAAGGTAGTGTTGTGAAAGGCCCTATCAAGAAACCGTTGGTGATTTCATTAAGAGTTTGTTTACTCTGATGGGAACTGTGAGTGCTGACTGTAGGATGGGTGTTCCAAAATACCTATGTGGAGTGACACAAACCCTGTGTAAAATGCATTAGTAGACATGAGAAATTCTACCAGATATAAAGAAGGATGAGTAGACAGGTAGCGTTGTAGATTAGAAAAGTCTATTGGGGTGGAAGATTTTAGGGTACCGCCTGTAATGGCACATTGTTTTTGGCGTGTGCACTGAAACAAAGTGAGCCCATGTGAAGAAGCCTACCAGCACTATAACTACAACCACCGGCATTGAAATTATTGCAGACTTGTGCTTCACCTAGAAAACAAATTGGCCTGCCTACTTTGTCTTAACAAAATCCTTCTGGGATGTGTTGGACTGATAATCAGCGTTGGCTTAGTGGAAGAGGGAATAGCTACGTTTCCAGGATGAAATTTGATCGTATGGGCTGTTGCTGAGCTTATGGCACAGGAAGGTGTTTTGAGACCCGAAAATGCCTTAGAAACCATTCCGTGTGTAACTGACCGCAGTCGGTGTTTGTATAATACTCTCTGCGAGCCTGAACTGAGATGGGTGCTGGTAACTGACAGAACGTCTCCTTGTATAGAAGCGTTAGACATGCTAAATAAGTGCGGCAGATGACTTGGTAAGTAAGGTACCGTATAGATCTGCAGTGACCCAGCTTACTAGAGTAGTGCCTACAGGCGAAATTGTATTAACTAGCTTATCTTGGTGACAAGTGACACCCTGACTACTTGCCAAGTGGCTTTGAGAGGCTCTACCTATGATTTGGCTCGTGGGGCCTTTGTGCCACTGAGGTGGGTGGCGGGGTGTTGGCCTCTCAGTGACACAAAGGCCCCACGAGCCAAATGACGTTGGCCGTGACGGGTGAGGCCCTAAATATGACTTGATGCAAGGCTATAACTATGCGTTGGGCCGATTGGGCTCGAACATCTGAACGGAAGGCTGATTGTATGCCTTGCAGGACCACTTGACTTATAGGCAAGGAGGCCTACAGGACCATACCTAAATTGGCGAGAGCTTAAACCTTGTCCTAACCCCAACTGGTTTTATTTCGTTAACGTACCTTCTGATTGTCATTTATAACGTATACTGTAGTGGAAAGAACGATCCGTATCCTGCTAACAGGTTTGAGCTGTTGGTGTTTAGCGGTCTTGTAAAAAGTGTAGAATTGCACACAACCCCCTACCTACTGACCAACACCATAATTACCGACATTACATTGACGACACCAAAACTACTGTACATTATAATTGTAACACCATAACCATTACCAATTGATATTGCAACTATAACACCATGATTATCTAACTGTACAATAATTACTAACCGTACCATAGCTACTGACGGCAGAGACGAATTGTTGAACGTTATGCGATTGGTTGGTTTATGTTTGGTTATTGTGTAGATAATTGAATGAAATGAAACATAGTTGCATTGATAATTGTATGGTCTTTGGAGGTTTGGATTTTGTTTTATATGTGGGCGACGTAATTTTGTGCAACGTATGAGGATCCTGTGCAACTTGTCCTGTTAGGGTGATAACTTGAAACTAATGTGACTTATTTATTTATAGTACATGTTACCAGAAGGAAATACATGGAATTTAGGTAGGAATTTCCGAGGCCTACCTCTTTAATGTAGTGTATTTAACCCATAAGGCCCCTTAGCAAACAGTAACAATAATTGTACGATCTTTAACAGGAGGGAAAAACATACTTAATTGTCATCTTATTTATATACAGCCTAGTGTAATTAGGAACATGTGATGCCGGAGACAGAAATAGAGCATAATATAAATCTATTAACACACTTACATACCTATAAAACGCTTTAGCTATGGTTTAAGGGAAAATACACAGTGAAAGTATGACCTTAATTGCCATCAGACATGCTGATTAGGATATTGCTGTTCGTTTTTTAATTAAAACATAAATACCATGAAACGGATGACAAAGAAAGACTAGGTAATTTAAACGAAATGCAACATGCAATGCCATTTCAATTGAGAAAAAAAAAAAAAAAATATGGTTTCACAATGCTGTATAAACGGAATGAACTTGCTAGATATGAGGCATTTTATACAAATAAACGAAAGTTTGTGCGAAAGTGTGACTGTGTATACTAATGGAAAAACAAGCGTTTTATGCGAATGGATAATGCATGCGAAAGTTTAACCGAAACGCCAGTTAGCAATGCCCAAGACAGAATCTAAGCATAATCTTACCCTGATTAGCATACTTATATATTTTTAAAACACCTTAACTACCCTTTGAGGAGAAATACTTTAATAAAGTTATACCTTAACTGCCGTCAGCACATACTGATTTTGTATATTTTAGAGAGTAGAAAAACAAGGACATTTTAAAAGAGTGACATAATAAATGCTTTGACATTGAAAGCTGTTTAAATTGAATGAAAAGCTTTACCAGCGCTGTATCAACTGGAGTTTAACGTCTACTGCAAAGCCAGCAAGTTAAAATAAAAAAGACAGTTTATAACCCCCATATGAAAGTAACGAACAGAGTTGCTGTTGTAGGTTTTAACAGACTAGAAATAAAATAAAAAGGACGTTTTAATGAATTTGTTAAACTAAACCAAATTTAACATGGAATGCCATTTATATTTGAATGTAAAATGCGTTGATGATGCTGTAGTACCGAAATGGAATTGTACCGCTAGGTATGAGTGAGTTGACAGCGTGGAAAATAAACTAAAGTTTGCATGAAACGAACCAATAGTCTAAACGAACAGAGCATATGAAAGTTCATACGAAAGTGTGTTTGACACGAACTGCTGCTATGTGTATACTGATGAGTAAACATAAAGGTTTATGGGCACGGATAACTTTAGACGAACGCCAGCTAGCACAAATTGTAGTGGTATGTGGATGAAAGAGTAACATGAGCGATTTAGCCGAATGAAATATTTTAAACGAACGTGTGAGTTTGATGACAAGTATGGGGTGCGTACGAAATGATAGAGTATAACTTACGGTTAGCCGTTCATATGCTGGCTTCCCTTGTTATAGTCAAGAACTCAGTAAGCAGAGAAAGTTTTCTGCAAATGGACTGCCATCGGGCGGGAAAATGAAGTCAGGGTCCAGTGAACCGGACGTAAACAGAATCACTTCCGAGTGAGTCGACGACAGGTAAGCAGGGGCTCACTGGGTTTAAGTAGGGTTCCATGTAGCTCCCACAATTACAGGCCAAGCTATCTATATATCTATATATCTATATATATACATACATACATACATACATATACACATACACACACACAGACACAAAATATATAAATTAGCCTAAACCATAAAGGCAATGTAATTGGAGTAGACTCACCTGGGAGGCAAGTAGCAGAAAGAGGAATTGGGAGGAGCTTGATAACACTATATGCCATGACTGTACACTCTGATTGGTTAAATGTTTTACATCATTGTTAACTGTTTCTTTGATGCTGGTAGGTTCAGTAAAGAAAGATAAGCAAATATGAAGCCTCCTGTCTTGTCATAAAATTGTCACTGTATAAGGAATACAATTTAATTTAATCATTGTGCTAGCAAAATGTTATCCCACGCAGAAATTAAACATTATTCAGCAAAACGAGTTTAAGATATCCCTCCCAAGTCAAGGGCTAGCAAGAAGTCAGTAATCAACAAGAAAGCATAAGCACATTCTTAATGACCCCTTCCGTATTTGGTTTATGGATTTTATCCTTGCCGTTCTTACACTGTTACTGTGAAAAAAATCATTGTGGTCCATCTGGTGATCTGAGATTGCTGCAGGGCAGCCAGTGGTGTCGAATGCTCGTTGTCTGAGAGAAGTGTCTACCATGAACATGCCTCTGCTGCTTCTGCCACAAGACAACACTGATTCAGAGGCAGAGCCGATTGCCTCAAAGTGATGGCACTATGAAGATATAGCACTCAAGCTTCCAAATTAGAAACCTCTCAGTTCCGCTCCCATTTGTTGCTTTTGATTCACAACCCATACTTTATACCTGGTACTAAGATAGGGACTCTCTTCACAACAGCTTTCTACGGTGTGTCATGTGGCGTCTGAAAGGAAGATTATTTCCATTCATACGTTTCAGGATGAGTTCCCACCTACCTCATTTACACTTCACACAACATTAAGACATCACAACATCCAAATTTGATCAGGAACCACCCCCTTTTTGAGCTTTTGTACCTAGACGCGGAAACTTTGCGACACAGCATTTCCTATTTAACATGGGCCACCCTTTCTACTCCAAAAGGGAGCTAACCATTAGTAAAAAAACACTCAATTTGCAACATATTCCATCACTTGTTTGATATCTAAGAGGGTTCAAAAGTTGTATCCACGTGGCAAATACTCCTGAGTGCCTTCAAGCAATGAACCTAATGTTAGATGGTCTATGCTGAAGGCGCAAGAGGTTGAGTGGCTCCTTTACCCACATATAAAAATCCCACCATAACTATCCACATCCTTATTATAGCTAAACAACTCATAACTATTTTCTGAAGGCTGGATATTACAACACCATTGTGATTTTAAACTATACATTTTTTAAGACGGAGGAGTTGAGGGTAATGGAGGACTTAAGTTTTACAGGGCAGGATCCAAGAATACACCAAAATGTAAAGCACAGTGGCTAGTATCGGCCTGCAAGGACAAATTGCAACAACGGTTTCCATCCAATGAGCTTAAGCCCGACACCTTACTGGTGACACCTGTATTAGGAGTATAAAAGTCCCTCTGAATGTCCATTTGCTGCAAAACCAGAATGTGTACCAAAAGTAGAAAATGGCAGAGATTTGCTCTAGTTTGCTTACATAAGTGTGGTCTTCATGAGTAAAACATGATGGCTACAAAAAATAAAAATAGAGAAAGCATGTAACCCACTGTAAAATGTATTTATTTTTTTTATAAACGTTATTTTGTAAACGTGACCATTAAACATACTCTGCAAAATGGCAGAATTGGAGTCAATGTTTTTACTACATTATAGAGGTATATAATTACACTTGTACATTCAGTTTTAAACAACCCCCTTAAATCATACACACAAGGTACTCCTCCATAATAAAATTATGACAGGTAAAATATGTCAACGAAAAGGACAGAATTGAAGAATCACTTTTGTAGATACCATTGCAGAAATAAATGACATTCTCAGGTAAATCTTGTTAATGGATTTGCGAGTGGAAGATAGGCTAATATCACTAACACAGTCAGAAGTACTCTGCTTTTGAAAGGATCATCCTTGCAGCAGCCAAGCTGTCAACTGAAACATCCTTAAAGGAACACTATAGGGTCAGGAACACAAACATGTATTCCTGATCCTATAGTGTTAAACCATTTAGGTGGCTTGCCCCTCTCTCAGCCCCTTTAAAAGGAATTAAAACTCTCCTTATTTCCAGCGTTGCGCAGGTCTGCCGGTGCTGGCCCCGCCTCCTTGATGACATCAGAATTGCCAATATTTAGCCAATCCAATGTTATCCCATAGGATTGGCTAAAATCAGCAAGGAAGCGGGATAGGGGCAAACAGTTTTGGCCAATCGGCACTTCATAAAAATACGTTGAATAAATGCATATCTATGTGGAAAATTCAGCATCCCCATGCAGAACGTGGAGATGCTAAACGGCAGTGCTGCTTACTATGTGGCACTGCCCCGGAAGCATCGCTCGTGGCCATCAGAGGAGTCCCTAGGGGGCAATGTAAACACTGCCTTTTCTCTGAAAAGGCAGTGTTTGCATGAAAATGCCTGAAGGCATTAATCTGTAGTTGTTCTGGTGATTAGTGTCCCTTTACGGTTTTTACTACACGATCTTTGTTTTCTAGGATGTTCCCTGAATATGGGAGTTCCCAATAAGATAGCACCATCTGTTCTCTCTCAAAGAACCAGCTCCTGTTTGGCCAATATGGTACAAATGTCAAGATTCTTGTATTGTCTGACCTGATCTTCTGCACAATCTGAGTGATCAATGCCACTGGAGGGAAAATGTATGCTATCTTGAACCGCCCAAGCCCTGATCTGGGAACACAGCATTTAAAGGGGTTTAGGTTAGTAAAGACATTGTCTGATTGAATCCTTACAGACTTCTTTGTGAACAATGGTCTGAAAGCTAAGGGCGTTCCAAACCGCCTTCATTTCATGAAATTTGAGGATTGGGCAGCTTCTTTTACAGACCATTTTATCTAATGCACATGGGACCCCAGGTGAGCACCCCAGCCTGTTATGGAGGCATCCGTAGTGATGGTAATCCAATTTCTTTGTTTGAATGACAGACCTGTTTAAGAATTCTGACTTCTTCCACCAATTCAGATGATTTCTCAACATGGCTGAAATGCAAAATACTGCATCTAGATCTTACTCTCTTTTTGACTATATGGAAAGATGTTCCACTGTAGAGGTCGGATTTCTGCCCTTGCCCATTTTACCACCAGAATAGTAGAAGGCCTAAAAACACTCATTGACTTCCTTATGGAACAATGATTTCTCTTTTGGAGCATAGAAGTTTTTCTTTATTCTTTGCTTTTCTAACTGCAAACAGCCAGGGATCTGCAATCCACTAAAAGATCTAGAAACAACTGATGATCCAACTACGGTCCTGTAGGATTGAATGGCCACTTGAAGGTTCATACACAGATGCTGCTCTAAGTATACCTTGAGGAACCAATCGTCCAGATAAGGTATGATAGCAATGCCTTTAACCTTAGAGCAGATGCCAATGGAAGAAGTTTTGTGAATACACTTAGGGCTGATGCCAAACTCAAGGGTAAGGCCTTAAACTGAAAACGTAGCAGTTTTATTTTTCTTGATTTAATCTTCTGTATTTTCTTGAAACCGCCATTGGTACATGGAGATAAGCATCCCTTAGATCCAATTTCGCCATGTTATCTCCTTGTTGAAATATATATATATATATATATATATATATATATATATATATATATATATCCATCCAATAAAATGTTCTCCATTCAAAAACTTTGGTAAGATATATGTGTTGACGTCAAAAATAGGGCTAAAAGATTTGTCTGGTTTTTACACTAGAAAAAGGCAAGAATACACTCCTTCCTGTTTCTTTGGAACTTTTTCTATCACTCTTTTTTTTTTTAAAGGGTAATCTATGCTGCTACAAGAGCATCTGATTTAATTTTTTTAATGGTATGACGACACCTTATACTCAGAAAGTTATTTTGTAACCCTCTGCAGTTGTATTTAATATCCGTGTGTTTGAAGAGGTTTCTCTCCATCTCTGTACAAAAAAAAAAAAAAAATAATAAATCTTACACCACCAACCCACTCTTCTGGCAATATCATCTCCTGTTCTTGTCTTGCTCATTAGTAGCATCTCTTTTGTTATCTCTCAATGGCTTATGAAATTTGCAATATTTATCTTGGAAGCGTACATATCTTTGACCTTGGAGCTGAAACGTATGGCCAATTCCTCCAGACATATTATAGCCTTGTGGAAGGGCATTTTAACTGCCATTTGTTTTATCTCCTCTGGAGAAGCAAGCCGCTTCTTCGCACAATGCAGATTTGGATGCTGTGAGCGCTGTCCATGTTCTAAAACCACAATGCCCTCCTTGACCCAGATAAGCCCGTAATGCGAGCTGAAAGCTTTACCTTTCTTCAGTCATATCAAGCAGAAATTCGTTGGATAATTTTATAAGATTAAAACAAAGGTGACAGGTCTTTTTCTGTGTTATCCACCACAAGTTCTTCTAAGGATTGTAGCCACAGGTTTTGTGCTTTCACCACTGATGCACCTGAAATAGCAGCTTTGCACTGGTAGCCTGCAGCTTGATATACCCGTCTGTTTGAAGTTTCTGCACGCTTGTCCATAGGCTCTTTGAGGCCAGAAGTTATTGAACTAGTTTAGATTTAAATGCCTGACACTTTTTCTATTCCCTCTGGAGCAGCTCCAGAAGTCATTTTATCATGCTGTTCTTGACTTTTAACAGCCCTTCTGTCTTTCTTCCTAGTATTTTTAAATGATTCAAATGTCTGATAAGTTGCCCTGGATGAGGGACTGCACGTTCAATACAGCATAAATGCTTGGCTTTTCATATAGCCTTTCTGTCCGCAGGAGCTGACATTTTATCCTTTTCTGCTTTATCCAGAGATGCAGCACTGGACATTCCTGTAATTGATAAAATTATATTACAATATAATTAAATGAGGATTTCTAAAGTAGACAACTCTCACCTCAAAACCGTGTGGGAGGGCTGGGTACACGTAGTACAAACCAACCTTGGTGACAGCAAGGCCAAGCACACATATATAAGCTTAAAATTATTAGAATTTAACGCAAAAGTTCTGATCCTTGCACGTGCAGTAACAAGATCAGAACATCAGTGGAACTCAAGGCCACCTAAGCATGTGTTCCACTGTGCGCACAGGCGCAAGGTGGAACTTTGATTGGAGGGTTGCTCGGGACTGCCTACTTCCTGTTGCCGGGATATGTATTCCCCTTCCACTTGCATTCGGTACACAAGATTATCAATAATGGTGAGCTGCTTAGCTCGCCTCCTACGGAGCTTTCAGGTCCTTTGTGTCTCACCAGTCTTGTGCCAAGCGTCTTGTCCATCCTAATGTTGGGAAAAGGACTGGAGACCTTTGTCTGGACCTGCTATTAATCAGTAAGCAGGCAAAAAATTTATTATTGCAGAGCTTCTTGTCCATTCACAGGAGGTGAATACCCACTTATTAAGTACTGCCATTATAGAACAGGAAAATAACAGTCTATTAAAATAACCTTTTCCTGATGGGAAACTACAAATTCTACTGTACATAAGAAAGGCCTGTATTTCACATACCCGTCTAGCAGACACGAAAACAAACAGAAAGGTCGTCTAAAAAGTCAAAACGGTCGGTGAACAGTGATCCATGAATTCAAAAATGTTTGTCACATTAAACACCTAGGTGGTCAAATTTTCCATGTGGCTTTAAAGAACCTCCCAATTAAAGATTTAGAAGCCAAAGTTTGAATGAGAAAGTAGCCGAGATTTGACACATGTACCTTCCGAGTGGTATAGACAAAGGCCCTACAGAAAAAGTTCCTTTAGAAATTCTAAAACCCGAATCAGTGTTCTTTAGAGCATTAATTTTTTTGGAGACTGATCTCAGGAGAGTTGCACACTGTGTACAGTCTACAAGTACTTTGATTTGCACAATGCTTTTAATATTGCTATGTATTTTTTTTTTTTTATGGGTTCTGGTGGACCTCCAAATCCTATTGACAAGCACCCTGATGTCACAGCTATTTAAATACGTAAATCATTTAAATTTGGTGCCGAATTTCAGCATTCCTGCATCAAGAACACTTCAGTTCTGTGCTACAGCTGTACACAATAAAAGCTTTTTTGGAGGGGAAGGATGCCAAGGAACATGTACTAAATATTGATTTTGTTATCAGATTGAGACGTGATATATATATATATATATATATATATTTTTAATTCTGTATCGGATACTTCTCTACATGATCTGTGACATACATACATACATACGTACACCAATTGATTTATTTTTGCATGCTTTTAGTTTGTCCAAGTAATTTCTCACAATGATTGCATGGGCAAAGAATTTGCAAGCCAAAACGCCACATTGACAGTTTTGGTCCACAAAAAGTTATTTCTGGCAAAAAATAAATAAATAGTTTGTTCACCATACACAAGTTTAGTAATAAGTATATTCTGGTGGCCAAAACATTCTACAATTTTGTCTTCTAAAAAAAAAAAAATTAATGACAAAATTACATATTAGAAAGATAATTTCATGTAGAATGCAATATGTTGCATTATATTTATTCAATCAACAGTTCTAGCCAAAAGGTAAGCACAGCATTATGTAGCATGAAGTGATTTGTTCTAAGCCAGAAGTTAAGAAAATCTCTCATTTAGTCAGTTTTGAATCAAGTGTGGAGTCTGATGTATGGAAATAGAAGCAAACTTGTACTCTTACTCAATTGCTTAAGTGTTAAAAGGGCACTTCTAGGCAGCGTAACCTCTTTGGCTCATTGAAGCAGTCTAGGTGCAAGTTCTGCAATGTAAATTACAGTTTTTGAGAAATGACTTTATAACACTGTGGACCAAGCATGTCAATCTGGGGATGATGGGGTAGACTGATTTAAATGGAAAAAAGTACCCAAAAAAAAACAAAACAAAAAAACACAAATTACACACACAAACTATACATCAGTGATATACTTAAAGTAGTCAGTACACAGACAGGGGAGGAAAGGGGACCTTGACCGGAGTAAACGCATGGGGGGGTGCGGACCCTGGGCATTACACTTGAACGACTCAGAATACCACCGAGGGAGGGCTCGCGGGGGCCGCATCTGGACCCAGGGGGACCACCACCCCCTGTTCGAGCCAGAGGGGCTTCGCTCCCACGCTGCAATCTAAACAAGGTACTGCACCTCGCCAACTACAATACATGCCCACGCACATGGTGGAACACTTGCTAAACGCCGGACGAAAGGCAAGCCATAGCGACTCCGGCGGGCCCCACTCTATAAAGGCAAATAGGCTCGGGGTTGGTCGGGGAATGGTGTTCCCCTCTAAAAGGCAGGTCCAACATAAGAACTAAGAAATGAGGCCTGCTCAAGACTGGTGGAGATTTGGGGGGGACTTCGGAACGAAACCCTACAAATATTGTTGGGCATAAGGTTTAGGGGCCTTGCAAAACTTGTTATACCGTGTCTCTTGATACGATTTGACCTGTATTGTAACCTTACTACATACAAATAAAGAATGTCAAAAAAAAAAAAAAGTAGTCCGCACATAATCCTTCTCCCCCTCCTCCCAGGATAACTAAGCCTATATATTTCAAGTGCATTTAAAAAGAAGTCAGGTCTGCAAAAAAAACGGCCAGGTAATAGCCCTTATCTGAATCCAAGAGACTCTGTTGAGTAGATTATTGAAACTTGTTAGAGGCAACCAAGGAATGAAAATATACAGCAAAGCTAAAATTGTGGCACGTTTCCAGACTCTGTACAAACATAAATACTGAGAAGTTATGATATATGCTTTAGCATGGTTCTGTTTAGAACTTAATTTAAAATATAAATTTAATTGTGTGTTGTCATACATTCTGCATTAAATCTTCCTAACATCCATTTATAATTTTATGAAAATGAGCCATAAAACCACAGAAAAACTAAAGTTTCCAAGTGGTATCTTCAATTTTGGTCACTACAGTTTAGAGTATGAAGCATTTAGAAAAAAAACTGAACAGGCTGCATAGAAAGACATGGTACTGTACAGAAATGCTGACCGATGCCACTGTATGTAAAATCTAGTTTCTCCTAAACGCCTGCATTGACTTGAGTTTTAATTTTCTTTTTTACATGTTTAAATTTTAATACACAAACAACCACTCACTTTTAGTACACAATGTAACAAACTGCACCAACCACAATTATTTGCTATGCATCTGTTTAGACAAATCGTAATCTACTACAAAAACACCAATGAACAGAACATGCCTAGTAAGGCAAGCATAAGCTTGATTTTAAATTATGGAATGTCTTTATTATGGCTGCATCCAAAATATCCTACATAAAAGCACATTTTCTCTATGTACAGACTGTAATTTAATAAGACTTAACGTAAAAAATATAAAAAAAAATTGCCAACTGATCCTTAGACCATAGCAAAATAAATTTACTAATTTTCATCAACCTAGATCATGCTTAGAACCTAGAAGGAACGCAACAATATAGAGCTATATCAATTGACACAGTCAGAAATAGGGGAATTTGTTTAATTGTGATTGCAAACATTTGATTTACAAAAGGCCATGATACCACATTCATCTAGTATTTGTTTAGATTAAATAGTACATTAATATGTTTGCAGAATACTAGTTTGTTTCAGTTCATTGTATTCAAAATTTATTTTATCCGACTGCAGTAGGCATGTGGGAGATTAAACTTTTTTGTATATCAAATCAAAAGATGTACAAACAGTTGTATGTGTTCGCTATTTGAACAATACTGAGTTATGGGAGAAAAAAAAGCCACCATGGAAAGATATTTAAGGCATTTTTACACATTGGGGGAAGCATTGCTCCCACAAAACAAAACAAAAAAAACACCGCACACCAAACTACAACATTGCAGCTCATCCAGGTGTGATTTTTGTTTACATATTTAGCAAAATAAAATTCTATGTGAAAAAAAAAAAAAAAAGTGATACTAACCAAAAGCGGTCCACACTCACCTTTTGCAGGCACAAAGATCTATCACAAATTGTTTCAAATGCCCCCCATAAGCATAGAAACTGGTGAGCACAGAGAAGGTTGGTGTCCACGATTGAACAAAAAGGGAAGAACTAAATGGCACAGACAGCTTTTATTGTGAAATGAAAAAAAAAAAAAATGACAGTACTGCTTTATTCATTCATGATAAGTCACCTAGAGATTAAACTTTGTTTGCACTAAAATACGTTTTTGTAAACAGCAGAGCAAATTAGCCTTTCAAATCTAATGAACATCCCACATAAAAGGGAAAATAAAAATAATCACTTTAAACAAGCTTTACGACGACAACACTCCCACATGTCACAGCTAGCAGAACTGGGTTGTGTAGAGTTAGTACGCCCAAATGAACGTTAACCATCAGCCCTCAGAGTCAGACTGTAGGGCAGCATGTGGATGGCTCAAAATTATCCAAGAATGAATCTGCTGAGTGTACCAGATGTATCAAAATGACAGACCCAAATAATGTCTCATATCTTGAGCTAATAAAAACTTCCTTTCAAGTCTGTAAAGCCTCTTTACTTTCCCCAGCCCTGTGTCCAATACTAGATGTTGGAACTGCTGTCCATGCTAGACAGTTGTTGGATTCTGAATTTACTAAGCTGATCAACTTTAAATGAACATCGGAAAAGATGTTTGTTCTCTGGAACTTTACATCATTTGATTTCAAACATAACAAAATTCCAAAACTTTATATACACACAAATTTGTTGAATGTACAAAGAAAATGTTGCAAACATTGATTAAGTCAGGCAGCTAACACATTGGTTTATGCAACTTTATTGAAGAAAAAAAAAATTCTAACAGAGCTATTAGTTGATCAGTCATCCATTGACGCTTGCATCATTTATTTCAGTGCTATATTAACAGTGTTTTGGAAGATAGATTAACTAATAGCTCATCTTCAAAAAAAAATTTAAACAAAAAAAAAAATAATCTTTTGATCCTATTTAAATGGGGTATCACCTTCCAATTTGTCATGTTTATTGACATGCATAAAATACATCACATTTGTTTTCTGTTCCGCTGCTATACATTTTAAACACCAACTCTCCACCCAAACCATCAGTTATGAGCATAAAGTACATCATGAAATCTCAAATGTCTAACACTGGAAGGTTTGACCAAAATATCCACATAGTCATAACAATTTAGCATTTCTGCATCCTACGATGCTAGACAGTTGAGTTTTTTTTTCTTTTTTTCTTTTAAATGGCCTAAAATATTTCCCCCTCCCTCCAACAAAAGCACTAATCTTCACGATTTCAGTAAAATATGAAAGATGGGTTTAGTCTCATAACCAACTTAAAGTGAAGACCTTGGCGCCACACACACACAAGACATGCTCCATTTGAAGATTATGAATCTTGGGCAATTGTATTCTGGCAACTACTTGACAGTCTAGAGCAGTTTGTGTCCAAATGCTGAACTAAACGTCTGCCCATGAGAGCATGTGCATGAAGGGAGGCAGCACAAAAATTGGGGTGGGAGGGGAGGTGGGGGGGGAAGGAGAGGGGGACAAAAAAAAAAAAAAAAATGTGTAAGGGGGAGGTAAGTAGATGAGGTCTGGAAGGGAGGGGGAAAACAGTAATTTAAAGTTTATTCCAGCTATAATGCAGGTTATTTAGACTTCAAGGTAAGCATCACATAGCATACTTCTGAGTCCATTCCCGGGCTATTCTGTTGTACCTTGAATATAAAGAAAAAGAATGTAAGTGGTATTCCAAAAGACTTAATACAATTTAGTCATGCAGTTTAAAAAAAAAATAAAACTATAGTAATGCTTACAAGTACACGACTCACCAAATCATTAAAAGAAAATTTTAAAAATCCACAAGCGAAAGCTGTGCTTTTGTAAAAAGAAATGTAAATTTCATCTGACTTTAATAGTGAACAGTCATTAATTTTCTCAAGAGAGAAGCTCTACAAGGAGGGTGAAGGAAAAAACAAAAACACAAACAAAAAACACATCGACTTATTTTTAAACCTGTAGTGAGCCTGTTCTTTACTTATGCTCATCCATGTTGGTCCAGTATTTAGACTGCCTACTAACAGTAGCCAGATATACCTACTCTTAAATCTTCTAACTACTTCTTGTAGCTTGATCACGATTTGACCACTTCTCTTACAGATGCATTGAGGACATGGCACATGCACAGCTGTTTAGCATGTAGTCAGTCAAATGCTTCTTATACAGAAGCATAGAAATAGCGGCTGCTCACGTGCAACATAATGCACATCCACAAGCTGGCAGGCCGACATAGGAACCCATTCACTTAGAACAGTTTTCTATTTAAAAAAAAAAATAAAATCTATTGGGGAAGAAAAAAAAAAAAAAAAGGAAAATAACCATTTCTCGCATACAGCAGACTTCATTGACAATGGTAAAGGGGCAGTTAAAGGGACATGCACCATTTTTTAAACCAGCAAACAGATACACAAGCTAAAATAGAGCAAGGAAAGTTTATAAGTTTTTTACATTGCTACATCCCCTCACCTAGGGGAGTTTCTTCAGCCTCTCGCTCCCATGAAAGAACTAGCCGTGCATGAGAAAATGTGTACACTCATTACATTTGCAAACAAAAAAGAGCAAAGGATGTCAAGAGTCAGGAAACAATGACAAATTGATTCCCTGCATACAAAAAAAAAAAAAAAGAGCAAGTGCAACACTATATCATGTGTGTAATAACAGAAGTTTTACTTGCCATAAATTCAATTTCATTAAAGGGACACTCAAGTGCTAGCGCTGTAACTAGGTCAATTTATAAAAGGGCATTTCTAAAAAAAAAGACTTCAAACAAAGCTTTTCAGCAAGCTAATGTGCTTTAGATGCTTTGAAGTCCTGGACAAGTGTAGCATAAAAAAAAAATAAAAAAAAAAAATATATATATATATATATTTTTTTTTTTTTAAATAGTTAACCCAGTGGTTCCCAATCTTTTTAGGCTCAAGGTGCCCTTAATATTTCAATATTTTTCCAAGGTGCCCCAAGCCAAAACAAATTTCTAAATAGTATATATGAACAGCGCTGCAGCATATACTGGGCACTTGTTCAGCAGAAATGTTTCCAGGTCAGGGGCAATGGTAAATTTTTTAAACAATCCAAGAACAATACCACTATAGCATTCTGTAGTGGTTATGGTGCCAGAAGTGACGTGGTACCCTCCTAGAGTAAGCAGTAAAACTGTTTAAGAACAGTTTGTCAACTTTCCTGGGATCTTCTGCAATAGGGGTTGTAGTGTGAGAGAGGGGCAGTAGTGTGTGTGTATATGGGGGGAGCAGTGTGTGTGGGGTGAGTTATTGTGGGTCTGTGGAGGTAGGAGAGCAGATAAATATATACTTTTTATGGTATTAAATAAAAAATAAAAAAAGAGACCATCATTGCTGCAAAAATATAACTTTAATAACAAAGCTAGGAGGGAACTGAACTGCCATTATATTAAGTAAAAGGAATTTTTGGTAAGTAAAATTTCTATTTTTCCTAGTATATAGTGGCAGTACAAGTGGGATATAATATAGCAAGAGCCCAAAGAAGGAAAAAAAAAAAAAAATAAAGTTGATGAATCAAGACAACATTCTGAGGCATCCTACGCCGGAATGCAGCTTCTGAGGAATGCCTGGTAAAAGTATTAAATGACAATGTTGCAGCTCTGCAGATAACTTCTGGAGATTCTACACCCTTTTAGCCCATGATTATGGATCTGGTGGAGTGCAACTTGACTTAAAGGTAATATGAGAACAGACATTATATGCCAACTTTACAGAATCTGTCAGCCATCTGGCAATAGTAGGTTTAGATGTCTTTTTGGCAGCTGAGCGGTGAAGATAGATTTTCAGGTGTTTGACATCCAGATGTACCATTTTTCTTCTTTTGGTTAGGAAGGAAATTAGCCAGATGTTGGAAATGTGGCTGATTAATATTGAATTTTTTTAAAGAACTTTAGGCTGTTTTAGGTGGAAAACCACTTTGCCTTGGTGAAACATTGTACAATCTAAAGAGGAAACTGCTTGAATCTCACCTATCCTGGCAGATGTAATCTCCACCAAAAAGCCATTTTGAAAGATAACCGCTTAAAACAAGCTTCTTCCACAGGTTCAAATGGAGACTCACAGCTATGTGCACAACTGATAAATCCCAAATAAAGGGCGTGTGAGGAGGCAGTCTGAGAAGTATAGGGAGAAAAAAAAAAAAAAAACACTTTAGTACATGGGAGGCTAAATCCAGAAGAAATGGATGAGCACTGAAACCAAGTCCCAGCAGCAAAACCATCTTGAAGCAAACGCAGAATGGTTTTAATACCAGTAGTGATATTCAGGCAGTCATCCCAGATGAAAAATATTTTCCACTTTCTCAAACCTTGGATGTAGATCTACTTGTAGAATTAATGTCTATCATGTATTCCTAAAACCCTTGATCTCCAAGTATCAGCCTTGTAGAAGCCAGGCTGTCAATCTGATCAGAAGGGTGTCTTTCAGAAGTTCCTTGTTCTCTAGAAAAGGGTCTGATGTTCCAAAGATGCTAGGGTCACCTGTCTCAATTCTAAAAATCAGCTAGGTTTGGCAAATATTGAACAAGGCCAAAAACATAGCGGTGTTATCTTCCAAAAGATCCAAAATATCAGGGCAAAGGGAGGCAAAACATGAAATCTTAACGTTACATCTGATTGATAGGCCATCTAAGAATTGAGGGAAATCTTGTCTGTAAAGGAAGACCAACACTGGAATGTTCCTGTTCATCCTTGTTGCCATGAGATCTATATCAGGCAGACCAAACTTCCTTACTAGTATAGCAAATACCTTTGGGTGTAGGGAACCTTCGGATTGTGTCCACTTCCTTAATGTGTTTCTGCAATATAGTCCAACTTCCTCCTCAACAGAGGAGACTCTTGTTCCACCTTGTCTGTTCAGATAGGTCACTTGTGATGTCGGACTGAATCCAGACTTCGCAATCCACGGCTTGAATTGTAAAAGCGCTTTTAAAGAGGTCTTTCCTCTCTCTGTAATTGGAGGATTGTGCTACCTCCTCTGCAGACCAAATGCGCGGTTGTGGGTACAGGTGTACACCGCAGCAGCAACTTTGAGGAGTCTGTTGTAATAACGGGTCATTCCCTTGGCCTGAAAGAATAATAGGGACAGAAAATAGAGTTCCTTTAACACTTAAGTTCAGTTTCTTTGTGTATGGCCAGACTGCATTCTGCATCTAGATCTTCTCTTGACCATTTCCTCAAAACAAATTTCCCATTAAAGAAGTCTCAGCTCTGCTTTGCCCACTTTACTGCAGGAATGGAGGAAGTGATTTTGTACGGAATCTTTGTAGAAGTAGAAAGTTGAGATTTCTCCCGGTTATGACCCAAGCAATGCTCTTGTAGTAGCTGTATCACGGTTTGAATTTTGTTCCATAGTTGACTCTTTCGGCCATGGAGGAACTAATCTTCTAGATACAGGATGATGTAAGACTCGCTCAGAGCAGCCAATGGACTTTTTTCTTAGAAGTTTCACCTTTTGGCAAAATAGCTGCAACCTAAGCTTTTTTTTTAGCTCTTCTGGTGGAAAACCTGATACCACACTTGAGTCTCGGCTGGATATATCACCTACAGATTAGCATTCACCAGAAGATAAATCAGAATGAGAATATCTGTTTCTCTGGACAGGTACAGACTGACATTTGATAAGTTTAGAGTCATTGGCAGAATCCAGAGATTCTCTTGAAACCAGCTATATAAAAAATAAAATTGGCTTCTATTTTTTTCAAGAATTCTGCAGAACATTATTTGCACATCTTTCTTGCATCCATTTAGAAGTGGAGTAATGCACTTACTACAGGCTAATGTGTAGACTTATATGAAGCTTTCTTAGGTGCAGGAGTGTGCATTTTCAGATTTTCCAGTTTGTCTGGTAAAACAGGACTAGACATCTGGAAAAAGTAAATATAGAACAAATTGTAAAAAAACGAAAAATCAAAAAAAAAAAAAATTAATGCCAGACGAATTAAGGCAGACACCTAAAATCTCACATTAAAGACCACATAACTGTATGGGGGATTAGAAACACTGGAGTTGTCCTAACCAGCACCATTGCCATGAGAGAGGTCAGCACAGCTTAGATAGTCTTCAAATTTCACACCAGAATTGAAATAACGAGTGGGCTACTTTGGTGGAACGCAAGGCGTGCAGGAAGTAAATCCCACCGCTGTGTGCAGGTTGTGCATCTGTCTTTTTAATGGTGCGCCACCCGGGAGCGCCTACCTTACTGGAAGTTCTCAGCATAAAAACAGCCAGAAAGGGCACTCCTCAATTCCTTGAGGTTTGAAGAACGCGTCCTGCAGCCCGCAGTTTCATCAGACAGACTTCCCTAAGCAACAACTAGTGTGTCTCAAGCCTAGGAACAAACCAAGGGTTATCCGTCCCATCAGCAGGACAAAGAACTCTGGTAACTGTAAATGGAAGCATTTAATAAGTAGGTTGGGTTAAAAAGACTTCTATGGTTTTTCTTCATAGGGTTACTAGTCCAGCACTAGAAAATTCATCCCACTTGTATGGTCACTATATGCTAAGAAAATATACATACACACATTGTTAGGAGAGAAAAAAAAAAAAAAAATCAAACCCTTCCCTGTGCCCGCCTCAATTGCTCAACTTCTCACTCTTCTTGGCACAGTGTCGTACAAACACCTACAGGCACTGACACACAGTGAGGTTAATTTAGTGTGTAGTGAATGCATTATGGGATAGTTGTGATATATACCTACAAACACAAATGCATTTTTAATTTTGTAACTTTAATTTAAAAAAAAATGTTTTAATAATTTATTTTTACATTGTGTAATTCCTAGACAGGGGAGCTGAAGGGAAGGTAAGTAAGAATGTGCTGGTCCCCCTAGGACCCTGATGGCAGCCCTGGTCTGCATTATCTGTATCTTTATTGGCTGATACGGAGATCGCTGAAAATAAATTTCAGCCGATAATATCGGCCAGACTAATAATCGGTCGAACCCCAATGCAGAGCATGAAAGAGACAATTACAGAACTACAACCAGTTCAGTAAAGTAACACTAACTAAAATGTGGCCAAGGACAATTGGAGTTAAGGCTTAACAGAGTTAATTTCATATGTTAGGTAATTAAAAGGGATTTGTGATCTAGAATATTAAAGCTCAATAGTTTAAATGCAACACGTTAAAAACACAAAAATTATTTTTATCTGCTCCTTTTGCCTGCAAAATAAAACTCATTCATAGGCAAAGTTGTCTCAAAAGGACAAATGTCCCCCCTTATGATTTAGTTCTTTTGATCAAAGACTGACCTTTAAAGTATTGAAATGACAAATGTTCGAATATTGGCAAAATTACAGTGACATGAGGTCAGAACTTAAATGTACATTCTACAGACCACACCCCTCATAAGCAATACAATAGCTTTCTTTTTACACTGCAATTATGGTATTTTTTGTGTACTTTATGCAGAAACCTAAGAAGTTGTACAAATACAGAGTTTTAAAATCTTGTCTTACTAATCATCCTTTTGGTCATGCAGCTGTGGAATTGATACAAATACAAATACAAATAAAAAAAAGCATAAACCGTCTTCATTACACTAACAGTGGATGCACAAGCAAAACGTGTCTAACCCATGCACCACTCAAGTGCAAGTACTCTTACCCTACAGCATTGCGTATTTCTCTGTCCATTCTCTTGCTAGTCTATTGTACCTAATAAATTAAACATATATCCTTTGGACGTGCTCAACACAAGTGGCTTGATATTAAATTACAGGCTCGTTTGAGCAGAGAACACTTCCTCATTTCTGTACCAATAGTAAAGCTTCATGGAATAACCTACATTGAATGCTACATGAGATAAAACAATTAAATTTACATTAAATTGTAACCTATTTCTACAGGTGAAAATACTGGTGAGCTAGTGGTGCTCAATCCCAGCAATTTCATGTGATCCACAACTGAAGACAATACATTTGACAACAGTTGCATAACACATTGGTGGTTCGTGGAGGCTTATTTATTTTAAACAGAAGTGAGCTTGTCTTTCATGTTGTAGCAATAACAATCTTACAGCAGCAAAATCTGTACATGTGTTATGGTCTGAGCCATCTTCATTTATAGACACTGCATGAACACACCAAAGCGTAGAAGACTTTCAAGCTGTGTGTGTGCAGAAGAAGATAAGGTGAATTTATATAGATCATAAAATTAAGAGTGGTTTTTCCTTCAGCCAAGTTAAAAAAAACAAAAAAAACACTATACAACTGAGAATTTACAGATTAATTCTTCCGCTAGTAATCACAACAGGTTTGCTCAAGAGCAAATAAAACATTAAGTAATCAATAGTGCAGATACCACGCAGTACAGTTTGAAAAGTCATACTTACTTTTCCCTATCTGTTTTGTAGATCCGTGCAATCTCTGGCACTAGGGGGTCATCTGGGTTAGGGTCACACAACAGTGAACAAATTGACAAAAGAACTAGAAGAGAAAGATATGGGAAATAAAATTGTACACTCCAAACATGTTTCAGTTAATGGAAAAGAAGAAATCAGCGCTAGGCTGCCACACAAGAAAATAGTAGTAGAAGGATGCAAACCTCAAAGGGGAGTCCCCTAATGGTAAGAAATACAAAACAAAACAAGATAAGGTTGCGCCTAAAATATACAACATATAAAAATTGTATATAAATAGGATATAATAAATAGTATAAAATAGTAAAAATTTAATATAAAATATAAATGAATTGTAAAATAAATAGTTGGCAGTAGTCCAAAACACTTATGACAAGTCCGTAATGGTAGATGCCACGTATAAGAACAGGGATTCTAAGACGTAGTGTGCTTGAAATCCAGTAGAGCATATGTGGAGAGAAGACAAAAAGGAACTCCAATGGCACAGTAAATAGATGAATAAAATAGTATGTAAAATAAGAATAATCTTACTCACACTTTTCAGAGCCAAAACCTAGCTCTGATATAGCGCACGTGAAGTGGAATGATCCACACTTAAGGATATGCGGAGTAATTTGATTGACGAGTATCTGGTTCAGGTTAGGCGTCCGAGTTGGTGTTATTCAACCCAGGAAAGAAAAATATATAGTGCTCTCTGTATAGTAGTTAAAAAGGTATAAAAAGTATATAATATACTACTCACAGTATATAGAGAAGACTTGTACCGCTCGGTGTAGGCGCTTGGGTGGTATAATCCCTACCTAAGGATTCTTTAGACTTCTCGTCAGATAGGCAGTATATGTATAGTCAGGTGAAAGCAAATAAAGAAAATGGCTATAAAATATCTTATGCCAAACTTAATTTCTTTATTATGAAGTAATAAAAATGATATCTAAACGCGTTTCGCCTAAAGGGCTTCTTCAAGTAGATAATAGTAAAAATACTGTAGAATACTATCTACTTGAAGCCCCTTTAGGCGAAACGCGTTTAGATATCATTTTTATTACTTCATAATAAAGAAATTAAGTTTGGCATAAGATATTTTATAGCCATTTTCTTTATTTGCTTTCACCTGACTATACATATACTGCCTATCTGACGAGAAGTCTAAAGAATCCTTAGGTGGGGATTATACCACCCAAGCGCCTACACCGAGCGGTACAAGTCTTCTCTATATACTGTGAGTAGTATATTATATACTTTTTATACCTTTTAACTACTATACAGAGAGCACTATATATTTTATTTTTCTTTCCTGGGTCGAATAACACCAACTCGGACGCCTAACCTGAACCAGATACTCGTCAATCAAATTACTCCGCATATCCTTAAGTGGGGATCATTCCACTTCACGTGCGCTATATCAGAGCTAGGTTTTAGCTCTGAAAAGTGTGAGTAAGATTATTCTTATTTTACATACTATTTTATTCATCTATTTACTGTGCCATTGGAGTTCCTTTTTGTCTTCTCTCCACATATGCTCTACTGGATTTCAAGCACACTACGTCTTAGAATCCCTGTTCTTATACGTGGCATCTACCATTACGGACTTGTCATAAGTGTTTTGGACTACTGCCAACTATTTATTTTACAATTCATTTATATTTTTTATATTTTATACTATTATATACAATTTTTATATGTTTTATTGTATATTTTAGGCGCAACCTTATCTTGTTTTGTTTTATGTTTCAGTTAATGTAAGAAATGCGCGTGTGGATGATTAATTATGCAGCTAGAGGACATTGAGTAAATAGCAGCATCTCTCAAACTTTGTTCGAGTACTCAATGGAGTTTCTTCCAATGATGTCACCAATTTAAAATAAAAAAAAAGCCAGAAAAAGCTCACTGCACCTGCAAATGCAGTTGTGGTGTACATGAATATAAAACAGTTCTTAATAAAGGTTAATTGATTGTTTTAAAGGGACACTCCACTGACCAAATACAAAATAAATATCACTGTTTAGTAGATAAATCCCCAAATGAAAGCATGCATGTATTTTTTTCATTGGGCATAAATCTAAAGACAGTTTGCAAATCCAGCAGTTCTCTTGTTTGCTGTCTTTGCAAACCCTCACCTTCTAACCCCGCCCAGACATTCTGTGGCTGTCCAATCACAGACTTCCCAATGCAGCTCAATTAGAAGTATTTAATAATTCTTTGTAAAAGGGATTGTAGTGCATAACATCACAAAGTTTTACAACTTACAATGTGTTTGCATTTCGATGCATATATTTACATTAAAACAGAATAGGATAAATACCTAGTCCACAATAAGTGATTCACTCAAAAGGATGTCTAATGATCAGTGACTGCCATGGAATTATGTTTTAACTGCTAGTGTTAAGGTTTGAGCACAAATGTTATTTTTCACAGGTTACAAAGTTCTTTCAAATACAAGCATTTTCTTTTAGGCAAAACACACTATACGGGATTATATACCGTGGGCATGGCATTCTACAAATATTTAGAATTACTGCTTTCCCAAGAACGAGCATTTTTATTTTATAATAAAAAAATGTTTACATAAATATTTTTTAATATATACACACAAAAAATAAAATGTATTTTTCCAGTCTAGCACACAATGCATTATAAAAAAATTTTCATACAGCAAAATGCATTTTTAAAAAGGATCCTAAATAAAATTTAGGCAAACTTGCATTTCTCTCTTTTTTAAATCAATATTATAATTGAATTTCCACTGACCTTTAGAAATAGTTAAAGCTGGGGACCACTGTGATCTGAGAATGTCAAGACAAATGCTGCCATTGCTGTTAATATTTGGATGGTAGATTCTCGTTGTAAACGCAACCTAAATTTATAGGGAGAAAAAAAAAGCACTAAGGATTACAAGTGTGGATCTGTTGCAAACAGTTATTTTAAAGGAACACTATAGGGTCAAGAACACAAACATTTATTCCTGACCCTAGTGTCAAAACCACCATCTAGTCACCCTACCCCCAATATGGTAAAATCTTACTTGTATTCAAGTCTGCAGCTGCTGCCTCTGACACTGACCAGCTGACATTAGAAGTGGTGGTCTGAGCCAATCACAATGCTTCCCCATAGGATTGGCTGAGACTGTCAAGAAGGCAAATCAGGGGCAGAGCCAGCACAAGTCAAACACAGCCCTGGCCAATCAGCATCTCCTAATAGACACTGACAGTGTCTGCACGCAGAGGGTGGAGACACTGAATGGCAGTACTGCCCAAGGAAGCACCTAAAATAGCCATCTGAGTGGCCGCCAGTGGAGTTATCACTAGGCTGTAATGTAAACACTGCATTTTCTCTGAAAAGACTGCGTTTACAGCAAAAGACCTGAAGGGCATGATTCTACTCACCAGAATACAATAAGCTGTATTTGTTCTATTGACTATAGTGTCCCTTAACAAAAATGTTATGCAAAGAAACAGACAACTTGCACTGCCCATTATCTGCCAGACAATAGTTTCATAATTATAAACATGCTGTGCTAATCAGCATCACCTCATAAAGATGCATTATAGCAATGCTTCTCTATGAAGAGAAATCTGTGTCTTCATGCTGCGTTTGAGGACAAAAATGCTGGTTCTGAAAAGTTGAGGACACCTCTAGTAGCAGTCACTTTAGGTGCTTCCCATTATGGTCCTGCAATAACAAATGTAAACACTGCCTTGTCACTGAATAAGTAATGTAGTTCTACGTTACACTAAATAAGCCTTTACAAATACTTACTTTTGGAGGTTTGAATGGGTAGTCTGTGGGGAAATGAATGGTCAAGAAGAACACACCGCCTTGATATGGACTGTCATTCTGTTAAAAATAAAATATACTATTCTATTACAATAATGCATAGATTTAGTTATACATATTCAAAGCGATAAGTGTTCCTTCAGAAAAAGTGTCCACATTTTGCACACAGATAACCCTTTTATATATTGCACTCAAGTGCTTATAGTGGGGTAGGCAACCTTCAGCAGTGAAGATCTTGTGGACTACATTACCTATGATGCTTTGCCAGCATTATGATATATACAATCCACAACACCTGGAGTGACTTAGCCCTTGCCTAGAGGTGTGTGTATAAAAGAATATAAAATGTTGATGATTTGCCTGGTACATCTTTGCATGCAAAAACACAGAGGACCTTAACTCACCAAATGCAATATATCAAAGGAATGCTTGAACATGCAAATTACTCATATGAGTACTTTTACCAAGCAGATAAGTACACTCACAACTTGAACTGCTACTGAGGAAAGTGTTTATAGATTTGCCTCCACTATATTAATCCCACTAGTAAATGTTTCAGTTACATTTTAAAGGGACCCTGTGTTCCATAACAACATCAGTATGGCACCGGTCTGCCCACAATGCTTCAATCAGGCTGATAGGAGTTTACTATTGACAGTGAGAGAGCCTTAGAGATTAAGAGCAGCTGACACTAAGCCTACGAGCATCTTCCTTGTTTGAGGTTTACTGGCAAAAACATTGGTCTGCAACGAAAGTTTCGGAATAGAGCTGACTGGAAGCCAAATTAAGAATTTGGGGTTAACTGTTTAACCACTGAAAGTAAGCCAGGCAAGGGACCTACTGGCACCATAACTTTATTCAAATTAAGTTATGTGCCGAGTGCTCCTTTCATAGTGGTAAATAAAATATGATTTTTCCCCTTTAAAGACACTATAGCCTGACAGATAATTAATCAAATTCTGTATTTTATAAGACTTATAATTATGAACATTAATGCACCAATCAACATCTCCTCAGAGATGCATTAAATCTGTGACTGGTTTGTTCTGGTAACAGAGAAATAATTTTAATTGCAAATAAGGGTGTATGGTAATTATCTGGCATCCAGATTTCTGAATGTGCAGAATTTCAAATCACTAAAGTTGTCATGGTGGTTGGAGTAGTTAAGTATTACTTTCCAGTGCATCCAAAACACAGATTGAGGGATTTAATAATAATCACAAGTGAATGTGTTAATACAAAATGTATATGCATATTCATTTTGCAAGGGCCAACGATTTTAAAAACCTTGATGACACTGAATACGTATAATTGAATCTGCTAAACCCTAAAGCCCAAGTATGCCAATATGGGTAGAATTTGAATAGTTTTGAATTGTGACACTCCTAAAACCTGAAAAGCAAATAGACCCCCCCCCCCACTCCCTTGCAATAATGTTCCATGCATTCCCGAATAAACATGAACAGGGTACTTAATTTAATAATTTGTTACATTAAAATCATACTTACAGGTCCCATAATGGTTGCTTGCCAATGAAACACTGCAAAAAATAAAATCCACGATTAAATATTTTAAAGCAGCAGTAAATTCTGGATTTTCTGTTAACTAATGCAAAATACTCACCATGTAAATTAAAGACATCTTTTATGTGGGTTTTTTGTGTGTGAGAAATTCTGTATTCGGGGATATTAGCAAAGCGAATAGTCCACTATTGCCATCCAGATTTACAACAACTAATCAAAAATAGACAATCAACTATCATTTGATTAGTTCTGCACACAACATGTGGCAATAGGGAGAAATAAATAAGTAAAGAAAAAAGAAATAAAAAATAAAACTCCACAAGAGGCTTTATTTTGCTGCCGGAGGTGTAACTCCACATGCAGCAGCATCATCAGTAATTATCAGGCCCGGAACTACGCCTCAATGATGTGCATTCATGCATAGAGGGTCACTTATTGGTTGATCGGGTTCAGTAAATGACCAACAGAAACATCATACGGCGTCTGCAGCAGCTGGATGCACTTTAACTGCCTCACTGTAGAGCAGGCTCCAGCTAGAAATCCATGTAAGAGGGCAAACTGTTTCTAATGGGGTAAACCATTTTTAAAGTGGTTTTATGCTTGGAGAACCCTCTAGTGCTGTGGGTTGGGTGTTAAACGACCATTTCTACAGTCTGACAAGTCTAGACAGTGCCTCTTTAGTGGAAATTCATGGTTAACAGTTGTCCCTAAAGACCTCAATGGGCTGTCACACAGACAGCTACTAGGATGTGCTTCATGTTACAGGCCTGCAATCTTTGCATGTCCAGAATTCAGCATATACATGTTATGCATAAAGCAAAATGCCCTCACTATAGATTTAGTATAAAGTCTCCCTGTGAAGAGATGTTGATTGGCACAGTACATCCAAGGCAGACTCAATTGCATATCTATGGGAAAACATTAGATTGGCATCCATAATGACCATAGCTAGAGGAGGAGCTGCGAGCACAGCCATACAGGTGCAGATAAGTTAAACATCTAAATAGATAAGGTGTATGTTTAACATCATAAATGCTCCTTTAAAGCTTGTCAAGAGGCAGTTCGTACAGAATATAAATGCAGATATATGTTTGAAGGCTAGCCATACCACATCACTAGTAGAAAGATAAAGCTGCCAACAGACCCATTGGCACCATAGTGACAGCTTGAAACAGGATAACAAAAACGTTTTATTTTTTTTAAATTAAGGTTCTATGGAAGAGGATGAAAAGGTGTGCAATTTATACAATAAGCTTAGAAGGGTGGGTGGGGGGGGAGATTTGTAAGATAACTTACTATCATCTCCAACAGGACCTGCAGAACACTGAGCAGGAGGATCACGAGCCAAGTCATTCAGTTCCTGGAAAAACAAACAAAAAAAGCCATGTATATAAATACATCTTTCAGAACAAAAATGTCTCTTCAAAAAAGACATTTAAATTTTTTGTAAGGCAAATTTACATTTGTATGCATATAAGCATATTACTACTACAAGCCATCTTAAATCTATCCTCTTCACTATACTATCCTTTGTTCATCATCCTACTTTATAGGAACTTAGGAGTGATAAGAATTGGACTGATAGTCATGCTCTGGGCTCATACTTTCTTATATGCAGATTGAACCTCTAATTGAAAACTTCTACATGGTTTCGCATAAGTTTTAAACCATTGTGGCTATTACTTTTACAAATACTTCCCAAGTCATTTGCTCTAAGCTTCATCTAATTTCTATACACTTCTATGTATGCACTTCTAAGTCAGTCAAATTGATAGTTTAGTGGATATTCCTTTTTTTCCCCTCTGTCCATGAGTGTGGATACTATTTTAAGCACATCCAATTATATCATTTTATCTATTCTCCTTTTAGCATTGAATTTCTAATTGGTAGGTGTTGATTTTATCTTTTGGTTACAATCCCATATGGACAGGGAGGATGATAACGTTTGGATCTAAAAATTGTCCCTCGATTAACAGTTAATGAATGTGTAACCTTGTGGGTCTTCTTTACGCAATGCACAATAAAGCCTGGATGGTCTCTCATAAATGGTTACTTTATACTGCTAATCAGCCTTTCCCTACTGGACCTAATAAACAAGTTCCATCCACGTAATTCACTTTCTAAACACCAGGACTTGAGATTCTTCCCCACCACACTCTAGGGATCTCGGGTGATATTTTGTGAATTTAAATTTGTGCCTGCACAAACTCATTACAAAGCACTGACCAGAAGGAGCAATTATAGTGGTCTGCAGCTGCTGGAGGTATTGACCACCAACACCTACCACCACTTATCCAGGAACTTTGCTTCACAATTGGGAAACAACTTTCTTCCCTGAAGAAAAAAGGCCTAAAAAAACTAAACACGGGAAGTGAAGAACAGAGTGTGACTTAGCAGCAGTCAAGCCAGTGCTCCAAGCATGGTTACACATTGTACAGACACTGAAGAGAGAGAGAGAGAAAAAAAAAAAGTGCGCCATGCCTCTAAATTCACTATGTATCCAATGAACCACAATCTTCAAGTGCACTGCAGAAAAAAGTGCATGTGCTTAAACACTAAACGTTTATTATGCAAGATAAACAAATGCATGTGCTTTAAACAATAAATACACCATATGCAGTCAGTGTAATTTCACAAATTTACTCTGGAACAAACGTAAAATAGTCAGAAAATATTGCCAACTATGCTACAGTCACAAGACTTTGCCATTTTGCAAAAATCATGAGTTTTGTGAATTACCCTGTGTACTTTAACAGTCTATCCCTTTATCATTGCGTATATGGAACTGGCTGAGTACCGAATTAGAAGGCTTTTTATATAAATAAAATAACATTCCTACAATGTTGGGCTTAGTGTGAAAACCAATTTGTATGTTGTATTCTGAAGAAATATTCCATTCTACATGGGGCAGTAAAGCAATACCCACTAAATACCATGAAAACAAGCCAACACAACAACCATGCTAAACAGAACTAGATGCCAGGAGGAGAGGTAGCAAGCTTAACTTGAATCACAACATATCTATCTGCATTCTAAACTGGATGAACAGATCAATGTTTTTGGGTAACGTACTCTCCCAACCTGCATAGTTTACTCTCCGGATTGCTGAAAACGATATTTAAAAGTAAACTTAAAATAAACTATGATGCGATGAGTTAGAGCTTCAGGTGCTAGGACACATTACCTGAACTCCACCCCTTCCCACTTATATTGCTTCTGCACCAGGTTGTACTATTATGCACATGCAATGCCTAAATAGACAGAATATCGGTTGCAGAAGCTGTGCAGAAAGTACACAATATGCACAGCAGGTTTGCATTCTGACTCAGCCCAGTAATGTCTGAATTGCCAGTTATGCCTGTACAATATAACTTATTGAACATATTTTTAATTATTTTAATTACAGGAATTCCCCCCCCCCCTCATCCCCCCAAAAACCTGTTGCACTGCACCATAGTGAGCCTATGTATACATACCTAAACATCACTACACAATGTGTAGTGCTTAAAGTTAGTTGATATTATGGTACATATTTACCTGTCTCTTCTATGGGTATACATGATCAATAATATATATTTAAAAAATAAATAAAAAATTTTTGTAATGGATGACCTTGTATGCACCATAAAAAGTATTTAGAAAGGACCTTAATATCAACAATTTTGTTTTTATATCCACAAATGTGTTTCTGCATGTATTTAATATCATACCCCCACTTATAAGTGCCATAATCCACAGTGACAAAAGCTTTAAGGGGAAAAAAAAAAAATATATACAGTGTTTTTATTTCTCAAGTGGAGGCCAGTGACAAGCTGAGAGCATCACCAGACACTCTGCCTATCACCGGGACCCAAGATAAGTCATCGGTATTGTAGTTTGATGAGGAAGTGTAGCCAACTGGGCAGGCAACTTCAAGAGGACTTTGGGGTTAAAGGGATCCTATAGTGCCAGGAAAACAAAGCAGTTTTCCTGGCACTGTAGGGTTATTAGGTCCCCCCCAACCCCACAGGGCTGAAGGGGTTAAAACTCAGTCACTTACCCAAATCCAGTGCCGTTGTCCCTCGGCGCTGGGTCAAGCCCCACCTCTTCACCCACCATCAGCCTACAGGGAGAGTCTTAATGTGCATACGTGGCAGTGGCCACGCGCATTACACCTCCCCATAGGAAACAGTTATTCAATGCTTTTCAATGGGGAAAATCTGATGCTGGAGATCCGTGAGGACCAGTTCAAAATGGTTTAGTCACACAAGGCAAGATGTCACCCAGGTACCCCCGACATCTTAAGGACTTCGCTGATATAGTCATTATGGTGCTAAAAGTTGCCCTTCTAACTACAACATTGGCTCCTTTGTCAATCATGGTAGCTTCCTCCTGATTTTAAAGTTATTTTACAAGCTCTGCAAAGCTTTTTTTTTTTTTTTTTTTTAAAGAAAAGACCTGGATAATTAAATGTTCAGACAGAATTATGTGTAAGAGAAGGGTACACAGATGGAAGAGATTTACAACAGTTTGCATTATAGTGAAACCTTACAGGTGAATGAACAAAATACACAATGAAGGCCTTTAGAATTTAAAAAAAAACAGCACAGGTATGTATTATTTAACAATCAGGTCTACTAGGCAATAATCTGTACTTACCATTCAAATTTGAGAGTTTGGTAGTAGAATGTATATATGCAATTACTACTGTAAAATTATTTTTAGGTTCCCTTGGAGTTGGAGTTAAGTTGGCAGCCCAATCAGATCTGCATTTTAAACACATTGCAAGAGTTTCTCTGAATCTATTCATATCTACTACTCTGGATATGTTCAAATTATTTAGGGCGGAGAACTGCATACTTTTAAGAAGATTAGGCCAAGGAACCAGAAATATAATATAATATATATATATATATATATATATATATATATATATACCCACACACTTGGAGGTAATAACTGGTTCATAAGTACCCAACAATCCCATAATTGAATAGAGGAGAGCAATAAGGGAGAGGCCATATGTACAGAGCAAGGAAAAAATGTTTTGAATGTTATCTGTAGTCAAAACCAATTGAATTACGATGGCATTGCAATGTGTACATTGTCAAACCACCAGTTACTCAAAATGTCATTTTATTAAAGGGACATGATAGATACATGCATATAAAAAAATGAAAACACTTTGATAAGCATTTAAAGGTTTATATCCTTAATGAAAACAGCTAGGGAAGTTTCTTCAGCCTCCCATCCCTCTTACCTACTTATCTCAGTTTCAAACTAGTCCACTAATGACAGAAACAGGGCATTATTGTGCAGCGGCAAGAGAGAAACCAGTCACCAGAGCCAGCTCTGCACAATCACAAAAAGATGGTTGTCTCCTTAAAATATCTTTTTTGCCTTTCTCCTATCTATATTCACAGTTTGCATGAAGACACAAAACATGAAATACTCGGAACAAAAACTAAAAAATGAAAAGAGGATGTAAGGAGGAAGCCCCTCAAGTGGCTGGCAGCCTGACAACCAGAGGCATCTTTGTTACTGCTAAGGTTTTCTATTTTTTAAAAATCATTGTGAGAAACTACTAAGTGAAGATGAAGTGTGTTCCTTATTATTCCAGTAAATGATGTGAAGTACTTAAAGGAAGACTATAGTCACCAAACCAACTTTAGCTTAATGGAGCAGTTTTGGTGTATAGATCATGCCCCTGAATTTGCACTGCTGAATTCACTGCCAGTTAGAAGTAAATTGAACATCCGTTAGATACAGGAGGCTCCTGCAGGATCTAGCAAGCGATCAGAACAGGAGATAAAGTCTAAACAGAATTTACAGGAAGATCAAGTGACATGTAGGGAGGTGTGCATAGGGCTGCATAAACAAAGTGATGTAACTTCTAAATGGCAGAGAATGGAGCGGTGAGACTGCAGTGTCATGATCTACACACTAAAACTGCTTCATTAAAGGGATTCTCCAGTGCCAGGAAAATATATTTCTATTGTCCTGGCACTGCAGGACCCTCTCCATCCCAAGTTGCTGAAGGGGGTGACTTATTCAAAGCTTTCCTATGGGGATTTCGACAACGCTGGAGGTTCTCACATAGCGTGAGGACGTCCAGCACCGCTTAAAACTTTGTGTTCTATGAACACAGAAGTCCCTCTAGTGGCTGTGTAGTAGACAGCCACTAGAGGAGGACTTAACCCTGGAAGGTAAATATTGCAGTTTATGAAATCTGCAATAATTACACTTGCAGGGTTAAAAGGTAGTGGGAGTTGGCACCCAGACCACTCCAAAGGGCAGAAGTGGTCCGGGTGCTTGGAGTATCCCTTTAAGCTAAAGTTGTTTTACTGACTATAGTGTCCCTTTAAAACTGGTGGTAGAATAGACAAACTTCCATGTAAAAGGTTTAACCCACAATGTTATAGGTATAGGACAAAGCATAACATGTATGAGCGCAATTGCACACAGGTGTTCTTTCAATTATGTAGTAGGCACCGAGCGCTAAGGTGTTAAAATTGTTGCCCGATATAAGACAGCCAAGCATATGTGCAAGTTAAACATAAGTGGTTTTGAAGAACAAAAAAGAAGCACAACGCAGTTACCATTACACAAACGATGTTTCAGGTTATGCCAAACAATGACAGTTTTTTGCCATGTTCAGTTCACTATTTTAGAAAAGCCCATTCTCCACCATTACATAAAGAGGTTAGACCTAAACAATATTATGCATTACAACGCAGAAATTGTGGGGGAGGGATGAGGACTAGACAATACCTCCTTGTGTATTGCACAATTTAGTTTAGTGTGTAAAAAAAGCTTTTATTATTATGGATATAAATTGAGAAGGCTATAACAAGCTAAGGAAATAATGGTATCAGCGAAATGCTGGTTTTATTTTTTTAATGGTTTGACTTCTTACCTAGGGTCCGCCACTCCCCACCTCCAGTACAATAGAGAGCCGGAAGCTCTGTCTAAACAAATATGTTATGACTGAGGTAACTTGGGGTTACTATTGTTTAAAAGTTATATGGGCCCAGTAAATCAACTGTTTGAAAACGAAACTGATATGTCTAATTTAGCTTCCATAAATAAAAAACAATCTAGAAAATATCTAAAATGGTGGATTTTGTACAGAGTACAAGATCTGGATCTTCACAAGTTCTAAATTGCTTGAAAAGACTCTCATAGGTGACCTCCCCACTTTGTGTGCAGCAACCTCTCCCCACACCCCCCTGCTCAATTCTCTGCCATTTAGGATTGAAATCACTGTTTATTCAGCCCTAGCCACACCTCCATTGACAGACAGCCTGCGGAAAAAGAAAAGAGAAAAAAAAGTTTCATTTTCAATCAGATGTTAAAGGAAAACTATAGTGCTAGGCACTATAGATTTCCCCTCTGTCAAGGCCCCCACCCACGGCACTATTTAATGCTTTCCTATGGAGAAAATATAATGCTGGAAGTCCTCATGCAGAGCGTGAGGACCTCCAGCTTCAGATAACGGACCAAAAGTCAGTTTCAATTCCGGAAGTCCCTAAAGTAGACAGCCACTAGAGGAGAGTTAACCATCAGAGGTAATTATTGCAGTTTATAAAAACTACAGTAATTACCACTGCAGGGTTAAGGGTGATGGGAGTTTGCACCCCGACCATTTCAATGTGCCGAAGTGTGGGTGTCTATAGTGTCATTTTAACTTGCTTTTGCAGTTAACAGAATATGGTATAAAGGAAGTTTAATCCCTTAAGGACACATGACATGTCATGATTCCCTTTTATTCCAGAAGTTTGGTCCTTAAGAGGTTAAACATTATCTCGCTCTTTACCGGAAGTGTTTGGAAGGCTGTGTAAGTCACCAGGAGGGAGCTGTGACTAGGGCTGTATAAACAAAGTGATTCAACACCTAAAATGGCAGAGAACTGAGCAATGAGACTGCAGGATTTTGATCTTTACACAACAGTTTCATTAAAGGGACACTCCAGGCACCCAGACCACTTCTGCCCATTGGAGTGGTCTGAGTGCCAACTCCCACTACCCTTAACTGTAAATATTGCAGTCTTCATAAACTGCAATGTTTACCTTGCAGAGTTAACTCCTCCTCTAGTGGCTGTCTACTAGATGGTCCCTTTAAGCTAAAGCAGTTTTGGTGCCTATAGTATCCCTTTAAATAGGAAGGGTGAGAAACGGAAAGTTCTGAGAACACAATGTCTCTATTAGATGCCAGAGTATGCATAATTGCACCCAAGGTATCATGGAATGGCAAAGCCTCTGAAACATGCAAGTGCGCTCCTATTCACCACTAAGAGGGAAGTTACCTGTTCTTTTATCCCTACTGCATGAAAGCAGCAGGGCTGCCTGGAGGTGGTGAGGTTGGAGCTGTTGGAGGGATGGCACCTCAGTAGGCTACCACGTATAAGGAAGTTGCTCCTCGCAACGCACAGAGTTGAAGGCAGTCAGTATACAGCATAATGTTATTTCCAGGAAGCCATCACTGTGCTTGGAGAAAATAGAAGTGAAGGGAACAAGCTGCACACAGAATGCTGGACCATACATATGCAGTATGTGGGTCAGAGTGTGTCAGTTTGTGTGAGTATGGGTTAAAGGGCCACTATAGGCACCCAGACCACTTCAGCTCAATGAAGTGGTCTGGTTGCCAGGTCCATCTAGGATTAACCCTGCCTGCTGTAAACAGTTTCAGAGAAACTGCTATGTTTACATATGGGTTAATCCAGCCTCTACTGGCTGTCTCATTAACAGCCGCTAGAGGTGCTTCCGTCCATCTCACTGTGATTTTCACAGTGAGAAGATGCCAGCGTCCATAGGAAATCATTGAGAATATGTTTGCTAAATATATTTGGGGTATATACAAGAAGTGTTGCATCCATATTAGAGATTTCTCTTTCACGTTTTCCATTTGTGCAAATAATCCTCACTGCACCTCTTGTCAGTTTATGTTTCTGCCTCATTTTGTTTTGTAAACAAATTGAGAGTCCACACATACAAAGTGTTCATAAATGCACCTTTCCTTTTAACATCTCAATTGCTCCTGCCACCGAATGGCTGTTATCTGAGCTATTTAAGCAGTTTTCACAATCTTACTTTAACAAATAAAAATAAGTCATACTGCAAATTAGTTTTATTGCCCTTAGTAACAGGACTCATCTGTATTTTGTGCAAAAACTAAATTAGCATAAATACGTTTTCAAATGTTAAAGTGTGTGGGTATGGTTTTGACACATTCCAATAGATTGAAAAAAAAAAAAATCAGCGTATAAAGCAGTGATGACGAACCTTTTTGAGCCTGAGTGCCCAAACCGCAATACATGCCAACTTATTTTTCCTTAAAGTGTCAACACGGCAATTAAACCTCAATACTGAGGTTTAAGTTTAGAGAAAAAAAAAAAAAAAACTCGTACTGTTGTCCAAACTAATTAACAAGTTCGGACAAAATTTTTAAATAATGATACAAATAGATAAAATTAAGCTTAGATTTATTAGTATCTCCAAATGCAATACACACGCCGCGCCCGCCAAACACGCACGCAAACACACACACACAGACCGCCGAATACACGCGCACACACAGACCGCATTGTGTGTGTGTGTGTGTGTGTGTGTGTGTCTGAGGGGGGTAGGGAGGGATGCTGTGTGGAGGGGGCTGAGGTAAAGAACAAAAAAAAAAAAAAACAGCAAGCACTGCTTCCGTGTCAGGATGCATCTGTGAAGCAGCTCCCGTCCTCCCGCGCGATGCTGCGTGGAGCGTTGCCGCCCGTTACCATGGCAACACTCCACACAGCTTGCTCCAGGGAGGACAGAGGAGCTGCTTCACAGATCCCTCCCCCTGCCTCCCGACACGGAAGCAGAGTAGGCATCTGCCGTTTTGGAAAGGCAGGTGCCTACTCTGCATTGATGGCGAACCTATGGCCGCGTGCCCACAGAAAGGGCCCGGCGTGCCACAGGTTCGCCATCACTGGTATAAAGAGTAACAGTTTTACTAAAGAAAACAGCAAATCATCAAAAAAATAAAAATAAAGCATAAATGGGAAAACAAACTAAGTTTATACATAACATCAACTTTGTACTGAGTCATTTGTTACATGTGAGTTTACAGAGGAAGAGGTTATATTTCAACTGTCAAAAGTAAAGACAAATAAGTCAATGGGATCTGATGGAATACACCCAAAGTTATTAAAAGAGCTTAGTGGTGTACTAGCAAAACCATTAACAGATTTATTTAACCAATCATTGTTAACAGGAGTAGTCCCAGAAGATTGGAAGTTAGTAAATGTTGTGCCCATTCACAAGAAAGGTAATAGGGAGGAGTCGGGCAACTATAGGCCAGCAAGCCGTACTTCAGTAGTGGGGAAAGTAATGGAAAGCATGTTAAAGGATAGGATTTTGAACATCTAAGAACACATTGATTTCAACGTCAGAGACAACTTGGGTTTAAAGGACCACTATAGTGCCAGGAAAACACTCGTTTTCCTGGCACTATAGTGCCCTGAGGGTGCCCCCACCCGGCTCTGGGGAGAAGAAAGGGGTTAAAATGTACCTTTTTCCAGCATTGGCGGGGAGCTCTCCTCCTCCTCCGATCCTCCTCCCTTTCGGCCGAGCTACGCGCGCATTCAGCCGGTCTCATAAGAAAGCATTTACAATGCTTTCCTATGGACACTTGCATGCTCTCACTGCGATTTTCACAGTGAGAATCACGCAAGCGCCTCTAGCGGCTGTCAGTGAGAGCCACTAGAGGAATTGGAGGAAGGATTAACCCATTTACAAACATAGCAGTTTCTCTCAAACTGCGATGTTTATAAAATATAAATAAATTAAAAAAAAAGGTTAACCCTAGCTGGACCTGGCACCCAGACCACTTCATTAAGCTGGAGTGGTCTGGGTGCCTAGAGTGGTCCTTTAATTCAGGGAGATCATGCTAAACTAATCTTATTGATTTTTTTTTTTATTGGGTAACTAAAATAATAGATCATGGTGGTGCAGTAGACGTTGCTTACCTAGATTTTAGTAAGGCTTTTGGCACTGCTGCACATAGAAAGCTTATCAATAAACTGCAATCTAAGTTTGGATTCCAATATTGTTGAATGAGTAAAGCAGTGGCTGAGTTACAGGCAGAGGGTTGTAGTCAATAGAGAATATACGAAGCATGGGCTTGTCACCAGGGCAGTACCTCAGGGATCTGTACTTGGACCCATTCTTTTTAATATTTTTATTAGGGATATTGCAGAAGGTCTTGATGGTAAGGTATGTCTTTTTGCTGATACTAAGATATGTAACAGGGTTGATGTTCCAGGAGGGATAAGCCAAATATCAAATGATTTACGTAAACTAGAAAAAAATGGTCCGAGTTGTGACAACTGACATTTAATGTTGGTAAGTGCAAGATAATGCATCTTGTACGTAATATCCCAAGGGTACTGAAAATTTGATAGTCCTAACCTCAATACCTGAGGAAAGGGATTTAGGGGTGATTATTTCTGATGACTTAAAGGTAGGCAGACGATGTAATAGAGCAGCAGGAAATGCTAGCAGAATGCTTGGTTGTATTGGGAGAAGTATTAGCAGGAGAAAGAGGGAAGTGCACATGCCATTGTACAGAACACTGGTGAGACCTCACTTGGGAGTATTGTACGCAGTACTGGAGACCGTATCTCCAGAAGGATATTGATACTGTAGAGAGAGTTTAGAGACGGGCTACTAAACTGGTTCATGGATTGCAGGATAAAACTTACCATGAAAGGTTAAAGGATCTTAATATGTATAGCTTGGAGGAAAGACGAGACAGGGGGGATAAGGTAGAAACATTTAAATAAATAAAGTGAAGCAACACAGTAAAGGAGGAGAAAAAAAAATATCCGGAAGTATTACTTTACTGAGAGGGTAGTGGATGCATAGAATAGGCTTCCAGCTAAAGCGGTAGAGGTTACACAGTAAAAGAGTTTAAGCATGCGTGGGATATGCATAAGGCAATCCTAACTATAAGATAGGCCAGGGACTAATGAAAGCATTTTTTAAAAAAATTGGGCAGACTAGATGGGCCGAATGGTTCTTATCTGCCGTCCCATTCTCTGTCGTATTCAGAATACAAAATGCTAGTCTACACATTTTTTTTTTTTTTTAACTCTTATCCAAAACAGTGTATAACATGAACATACCATTGCCGAAAACCAGTAACATGTTACACTAAAGTAGCAGTGCTAGAAACCCTACCCCAAAAAAAAAAAAAAAAGTTATTTGGCATAACAAGGCAAGGATTGATGCCTTATGAAATAGCCAACTTTGGCAAAAAGTTGCAAAGGACAGAATTGCAACGACACCATTTTCCATTAGCAGTCAGAAGCGATGCCACAGAGGAACATGCGCCATTTTGCGCAACAGGTGACGATAAAAAAACAAAACAAAAAACACACCAAAGCTCCAGGACCTGACTGTATCCATCCACGAGTACTTAAGGAACTAAGTGTAGATATAAGTGAACTTCTGTTTTTAATCTTTCACGATTCTTTTCTTTCAGGAAGTGTTCCAGAGGATTGGAGGAAGGCAGATGTGCTTCCTATATTCAATAAGGGTTCAAAATCCTTGCCTGAAAATTATAGACCTGTGAGCTTAACTTCTGTGGCTGGAAAAATATTTGAAAGGTTATTATTAAGGGATAATATTCAAGAATTCCTTGAGAAGAACATGGTTACCATCAAAAATGAGGATGGTTTTATGAAGCACAGGTCATGTCAAACTAACTTGATTGCGTTCTACAAAGAAGTAGAACTATAGATCAGGGTGTTGCAGTGGATGTGATCTATTTGGATTTTGCCAAGGCATTTGATACAGTTCCACACAATAGGTTAGTGTTCAAACTCAAGATAATCGGTCTAGATGAAAATGCTTGTTTGGCTTAAAAATACAAAGAGTTGCCATTAATGTTAAATTTTCAATCTGGATAGAGGTGGCAAGTGGTGTCCCTCAGGGTTCTGTTCTGGGACCCCCTCTATTCAACATGTTTATAAATGATCTTGGAATATGGAAAGTCATATTTCAGTGTTTGCAGATGACACAAAAATAAAAAAATAAAAATAAAATACGTGTGCAAGATATTACTTTGCTGCAGAGGGATTTAGATAGACTAGGGGAAGGGGCACTTAAATGGCAGATGAAATTTAATGTCGAAAAATGCAAGATTATGCACTTCAGCGTAAAGAATACACAAGCAACGTATACCCTTAATGTAAGCGAATTAGGGATAACAACACACGAAAAGGACTTGGGAATTGTTATAGACAAACAATGCAACAATGTGCAATGTCAATCAGTAGTGGCTAAGGCCACTAAAATATTGTCATGCATGAAAAATAGCACTCATTCTCGGGATGAGAATTTAATTTTGCCTCTTTATAAATCACTGGTAAGACCACATATTGAATATGGTGTGCAATTTTGGGTACCTGTTCTAAAGAAGGATATTATGGCACTAGAAAAAGTGCAGAGACAGGCTACAAAATTAATAAGAGGAATAGAACATAGCTATGAAGAAAGTTAAATTTAAAACCTATTTAATTTCGAAAAATGTCACCTAAGAGGGGATATGATAACACTATACAAATATATTTGGGGCCAATACAAACCACTGTGTGGAAATCTATTCACAAACCAGACTTTACATAGGACACGAGGTCATGCGTTTAGACTGGAAGAAAGAAGATTTCGTCTAAGGCAAATGAAAGGTTTTTTTTATTGTAAGAACAATAAGGATGTGGAATTCTCTGCCTTAAGAAGTGGTTTTATCAGAGTCCATACATATGTTCAAACAGCAACTAGATGCATACTTGCAAAAATAGAATATTCAAGTATATAATCTTTCAATGTAGGGTAATAACTGCTTGATCCAAGGATAAATCTGACTGCCATTCTGGGGTCAAGAAGGAATTTTTTTCCTAGCTTGTTGCAAAATTGTGCTTCAAACTTTTTTTTGGCCTTCTTTTGGATCAACAGCAAAAAACAAATGTGAGGAAGGCTGAACTTGATGGACGCAAGTCTCTTTTCAGCTATAACTATGTAAGAGAAAGGTCCATTGTCAATGGAGAAATATGGTGTTTCTTCCAAATGATCCCCATTTCCTACTCTTTCATATTCACAAGAGTTCAACAGTGAAACAACTTCAGGCAGATAAAGCCAAAAATAAGAAGCCATGAGGACAAAGCTTCAAGTCTGAGGTTATCACATGGACTACAATAGGAATTGATACCACAAATGTGTGTAGACACCTCTACGATGAAAGTAAAATTATAGGAACTGAAAGACTATTCATATTTGTGCACAACGTAAAAACTGGTACACAATTTGCTACCTTAATTTAAATAAATTAAACACCATCCTTAAGACATGTAATGTTTAGTTTTCAGCCCCCCTTTTTTAAATTTGGTAGAGGAGACAACTTTTTTTTTTTTTTTTTAATGCACTGAATGTTTCAGAATTTCAGCTTGTGATAGAGATATATATGGCAGTGGGTTAAGATATATACTTGTATTTAATTACATTCTGGTTTAGTTTTGATATTCTAATATTGTTAAAAACTTACAGAGTAGAGATACTGGCCATGAGACGCTTGTATGTCAGTTACATTTTTTGTGTTGTCTGGTATTTGAAAAAAAATAAAATACATCAATTGGGAGAGCCTCCCAGTGCAACTTGTCCACACCCCAACGTGACATCACTCACTCACGTGCACCAGTCACAGACTGCTCAGAGATTGGACCAATTTTCAATCTCAGAGTGCATGCACACTGTCTGTAAATGGAAGATTTCTATGTCTGGCCAGTGTGCAGTGCACGCTGACAACAGATGTAATTTATGCAGTTCTCGGCTACCAATGTCATGTGTGCTGGGGATGCAACTTACTCTACGGCACGCAACTAAAGAGATCTCTGCCAAGAGCCACTATACCTGTAGCACATCAGTCATCACGACCAATGGCTGATTGGAAATGGCAGGATATGTCCAATGCCACATTTTGCCAATAACTGGCACACAAGACAAAGGTCACTGACTATCGAGTCGAATCTTTGAAATTTACATGCATTACGTTGACATAATGGATATAGATAGTCCAAAATATTGAATTCAGGTTTGCTCACTGACAACTCTAGGGGACTTTATAATTCACTGCAGTTAAAGCCACTCTTGGAGTAGGCAGTGCTAAAGTGTTATGGTACTTTGTGTAACATGTTAATCTTCAGAGACAAAAATGAATAGCTGATCTGTATTTCTGAAATAATCCCCTTTAACTGGACTTATCTAGATCTTTGTGTTATGTACAGGCAAAAAAATAAAATAAAAGTATAAGCAACCTTGGCAGATATTTACATTTTCAACCCTACACACTCCCTAGAGTCAGGTGAATGTTTATTTTAACCTTAAAGGGATAAACAAAGTAGACACCAGCCGCTATTCGTTTTACTACATTATGGGAAAATTATGCAGATAAACTGAAAATAACCTTAGAGGGAGAGAACTTTCAGTCTTATGAGGCTTAAAAATAAAAAAAATAAAAATTCAAAAAAGCACTAAAACAGTATGTAAGTTATGTGATCTACATTTTTCGACCGGCAGATGTTTTTAAATTCTATAGTGGCTCACACAGTGTATTAAAGCATAATCCACTGTGTGACTGACACTGCAATTAAGACAAATAACTTTGGTTTTGTGTAGAATAACTTAAGTGAATAAGTGTACAGCCATGTCATATTCTTGCAATCATACCTCTCTGGGAAGCCCAACATTAGCATGAGTTACTTTAATGGCATCAACTGCTGACATTAAAGCAGCTCTGTCACCTTCTGGGGTCGTTGTTTAATTTGCAGAGACCGCAGATTGTCACTGGAATACAAGTGGAGCAGTCACTATGTGAGGCAGAGGAAGATAGTTTTCACTTACCCGAACCTGTCCCTTGACGGTGCAACTAGCTGATTTCAAGGTCCTCTACGGCACATGATTGCTAAAATACACCTTTCATTCTTATGGCACTGATGGTACTTATTCCAGGAAGTAACACATTACAAGGTTAAAGGGAAACTCCAGTGCCAGGAAAACAATCCGTTTTCCTGGCACTGCAGGTCCCCTCTCCCTCCCACCCCCCAATCCCCGGTTGCTGAAGGGGTAAAAACCCCTTAAGTGACTTACCTGAAGCAGGGACGATGTCCCACGTTGCTGCTTCCTCTTCCGCATTGCGTCGGCCGATGGGCAAGACTGATCTCGCCCACCGGCCGGGAAGACCTAATGTGCATGCGCGGCAATGCCGTGCATGCGCACTAGCACTCCCCATAGGAAAGCATTGTAAATGTATTTCAATGCTTTCCTATGGGGAAATGAGCGACGCTGGAGATACTCACACAGCGTGAGGACGTCCAGCGACAGTGTGCTAGAAACCAGGAAGTGCCCTCTATTGGCTGTCTAGTAGACAGCCACTAGAGATGGAGTTAACCCGGCAATGTAATTATTGCAGTTTATAAAAAAATCTGCAATAATTACACTTGCAGGGTTAAGGTTAGTGGGAGTTGGCACCCAGACCACTCCAATGGGCAGAAGTGGTCTGGGTGCCTGGAGTGTCCCTTTAAGCACCGTATAAAAATACAGGTTACATTATCAAAGTTAAAACTACAGTAATAACAGACAGGAAAACTTGAATCAGTAAACAGGTACCTCCTGCACAGTTACTTTTAAAGTTTACCTCCTCTAATACCGTATTAAAAATTCATCAAGGAAGTGGTCAGCTTACTATATATTCCACATATAACAGCAAAAGTAGATTTTGCTCCAACCAGGAAAACAAAATAGTTCTGTGGATTTTTATATTACCACCAGTGTCCATCATAACCACCAGTGGTAATCACAGAATAACTAAGCCTAAACTATGCAGTTTTCTATATGCTGGTGTATTGTTAAAACACACACTGTGCTGTCATAGCTTTTTACTTTAGCATTAAACAAACAAAAAACAATTTTAACTTTGGGGGCGTTCCTAATTTAAAAGCATTATAGTCACCAGAACTACAGCTTAATGTAGTTGTTCTGGGCTGTATAGTATAGCCTGGCAGACTTTTCAGAGAAATTGCAGTGTTTACATTACTGCCTAGTGACACCTCTAAATGTGTAACATTGACTTAAAGAGTCACCATGCATTCAATGCATCTCTATGATGAGATGCCGATTATCGCAGCATTTTGCTGCACGTGTGCAATAGCCTCCTAATTGCTTCAATATGGAGAAAATAAAATAAAATATTGGATTGGGTGAGATTGTCAATTCTGATGATCTCAGCCAAGGAGGTTGTGCGGGGTCAGTGTCGATGAGCCCCTCCTACGATAGAATAAAGGGAAGTTTAATACCTTTTTCTTTTTTTTAAAGGGCGAATGGGGACTGTGAACATAAAATGTTTAACACTAGTGTCATTAATACACATTGGTATTCCTGCACTATAGTGCTCCTTTAATTTAAACTTTGTGCCCTTCTTCCAGAATTATAAAATTTAAAGTCCTTACCTTCAGCAGTAAGACTTCTTGCTACAACACAACTCCTGGGAGATCATCACTAGAAACGATGTCCTAAGCCAGGGGTAGGCAACCTTTGGAACGCCAAATATGTACTACATCTCCCATAACACGCTTACAGACAGTGCTTGCAAAGCATAAAGGGAGATGTAGTCCACAACATCTGGGGTGCCGAAGGTTGTCTACCCCTGTCCTAGGCCAATCCAAAGCTTCTCAGGTAAGTATGGTGTTCCTACAGCATACATACACAGTAGTCATCATGCTCTGCGAAATATATATATATATATATATATATATATATATATCCCCTGTCTTGACAGTGAGTAAAGTGTAACTAGAGAGATTCATGAAAGTACCAACTCATTTTGAAAAACATCACCTTTATAAAATAGGAGAAACCATTAACACAGAGCACCTCAGCAATGTTAGGTGTTTTGTATGATCTACATTGAAATATGGTTTTACATTTGCAATTCATTGTTTTGGAAATAAATCATATGGTGTGAACAGTTTCAAAGTAAATTAAAAAAATTTTATTTATTTTTTTATAACTGGGCACACTCCTGAGCTAATCCCAGCCCATGTTAAAAAAAAACAAAAAAACAAAAACAAAAAAAACCTAGTTTTTCCAAATACTTTGGGGAAAGAAAACTTGACACTACATAAGTAATGTTATTAATCAGTATTTTTTCACTCTGAAATACCAACACACTATAAGATTACCTCCTTTGTTTGAACCATTCATTGGACTCAACTCAATATATGCAGATACACTGATCCTACTAGTATTTCCTTTCAATACATTCAGGTAATGGGTGGTATTGGCATTACAGAAGATGTCGTCACTTACAAACACACGGTGAACAGGTTTTTAGCAATGTTTAAAGTGGCCATCTAATTATATAAATACAGCAAATTCTTAAGTAATGGTGCTCTCAGACATGCATAGTGCAAGTAATTCTACGATCACAAGTCTATACAGCACAAAGGGTGCCGGGAGGTGCCAGTCAGCCATGGAGGGCACAGGCCTTGCCTGCTATCAGTCGAGGCAGACCCTGGTCGCTGTGACAGAGAGCATGTTACTAGCCCCGGGCCCATTATTCGATACAGCCCGGCAGTGGAGCTGGCCATTGGCCATGTTAGGGACAAGCTGTCAGTACACAAAGGGGAGGCAGGCTGTGAGGGCCGGCCATGGCTGACACTCCGTGTGTCCGAGCGGTGACTCAGGCCGAGCACACAGGATGCAGGCTGGGCCCGGTCTGTGAGCTGCTCGCATACACACGGCCGCCATCTTACACTGCGGGAGCGGGCAGGGCGAGCAGCTCAGCCCACACACACTGCCAGCCGCCCGCACCCAGCCCGGGCCTACCCACCGCCAGCCGCCTGTCACCGGCGGATCGAGCTGCCTGGGAGGCGAGCCGGGCGGTGATTCCCCCTCCCCCCGGTGTAGCGGCTCAGTGTGGGAGACGGACCCCCGGGGGGACACACAGTGCTGGCGGTGTATGGGGGGGGTCCCTGCCTGACTGAGAGCCCGGCCTGTCATAGCGCGGCGCCGCTCACCTTGTGAATCCGTTTCAGCGCCATGATGCTGTGTCTAGTGCTGCCGGTGCCGGGCGGGTGTTCGGGTGAGCTGGGCGGAGAGGGGAGGTGAGGAGGAGGTGGCTGAGGGCCCCCTGTACAATATCCGGGACACGCTACAACCCGGAGACGCCCACACACGCCACAGGGGAGGGTGACAGGAGGCGGGCTGACAGGGAGCACTGCGAACTGCCCGCTGGGTGTACGGCTATCCGCTCGGTGACCCGTCGGGTGTTCTTCTTCTTCTTCAATTCGCCCCTCCCCCCCTTTTCTCGCGCGCCGCTTTCTTGCTGCTGATGCTGCTGCTCCTGCTTTCTCGGGCTTGCCCGTCACGCGCCACAACTACGTCACAGGACCTGTGGCACGCGCTTTTTCCCTCTCTGCCCCTCCCACCTGACGCTACGTTCACTGCGGACACGCACGGCTGCTCAGCTTGCTGCGAGACGGTTAGACGTACTCGTGCCCGAGGAAAGGGAGGCGACGCGCACACCGCGCAGTGTGAGCAATAACAAGGCGGCGATATGCGGGTGGTGATGTCACTCGTTTCGTGCACGAGCGGAAGCTGCGGTTCCTCGCCCCCCTTTTTTTTTTCCCCAACTATGTTTTAATGGCGAAAGAGCCGTGTTATGCAACCAGGTGCGGCGATGCGTCACCCCCTGTTATGACGTGGCGGGAGGAACAGGATATGATTTTAGTTTCTTTTCTCTTTACTTTGTAGAAGAAATAACCAACAGCTACTAGGAATAAAGTATAAAATAATTTACTGGCGGGGAGGGGCAAAAAGCAGCCCTGTCTCACTTGCATGAGCCAAACGGGGCTCCCGTTAGGACGGCTGCCATTAACGGGCTGTAGGGGAAGGGGGGGAGGGCGCGAGCTGTGCTGTCTGATTTTTTTATTTTTTTTTTTCTTCCCGCGCGCGCTAGAGCTGCCGGCACGTGCAGGTGGTGTTCTATCCGCAGTGGCGTCGCGAGAGGGCGCCCTCGAGTCTCTTTACGTCACGATGGACAGGAGCATTGTGGGAGACAGAAACGTCGAGAAGGGAGTCTAAATCCCGAGCAATGCAATCTAATGTGTGTGTGAGAACCGTGACATAATGAGCTGGGTGTCTGCCTGTCATTAAAATAATGAACTAATGGCACGTGGCAGTCTCATGGATTAGAAGTGTATGTTAATGGGATGGGCCAGGTAATAATGCTCGGGCAGAGAGATGGCTAGGTACCAGACTGTGGTGAGGCCAAACACCATAAAACTCCCCACAAGGCTAATGGGGAAAATAATACTGTGTTTTGTGTAATCCACATAGCTCAAGGCGGACTTTGAGTGGTTAGTGGCCATATAAACTTACATCCCAGATTTCCCAGCTTCACATCCAAATGAGCACAGCCAGACATTGTGTTTCACACTTCATGCTGCATTTCTGCAGATAACTTAAAGGACCACTCTAGGCACCCAGGCCACTTCAGCTTAATGAAGTGGTCTGGGTGCCTGGTCCAGTTAGGGTTAACCCATTTTTGTATAAACATAGCAGTTTCAAAGAAACTGCTATGTTTATGAATGGGTTAAGCCTTCCCCATTCCCTCTAGCGGCTGTCTCATTGACAGGCGCTTGTGTGCTTCTCACTGTGATTTTCACAGTGAGAGCCCGCCAGTGTCCATAGGAAAGTATTGACCGGCTGAATGCGCACGCAGCTCTTGCCGCGCGTGTGCATTCAGCCGACGGGGAGGAGAGAAGGAGGATCGGAGGAGGAGAGCTCCCCTCCCAGCGCTGGAAAAAGGTACGTTTTTACCCCTTTCAGAGCTGGGCAGGAGGGGGACCCTGAGGGTGGGGGCACCCTCAGGGCAGTATAGTGCCAGGAAAACGAGTATGTTTTCCTGGCACTATAGTGGTCCTTTAAAGCAACTGTTATCTCACACTATAGCTGTCAAAACACTGTTCTGTGCCCCCTATAACCAATGTAAAAGGTGAGTTTACTCACCTTTATTCCAGCACAGCGTTGATCCGTCGCATCTGCTCCTTGGCTGAGATCACCAATCCCTACTATCTCAGCCAGGAGGCTATTGAGCATGTGTGACAAATGCATTACACCATTCAGCACCTCCTCATCCAGATACATTGAATGGATGCATCTCTATGGGGGAGCGTTCAGTGGCTCCATGCAGAACATGGAGACGCTGAACTTCAGTGCAGCAGCACTGATGTGGAAGCACCTCTAGTGGCTGTCTGAGTGACCACAACTAGAGGTGTTCCGAGGTAGTAATATATACACTGCCTTTTCTCTGAAAAGGCACCTCAAGCAGCAGCTGGAACACAAGGTAAGCTAACAGGAGGGTGGCTGGAAACATAAAAGATTGTGACATTTTTGTGTTTCTGTATTTGTCAGTGTGTGTGTCTATGGGTGTATGTGTAAGGAATATTAGGGAATTCTACATGCAGAGTGTAAAGGAATAGTAACGTATACCGGACCTTAGAATGGCTGGATTATCGTTACAAGGACAGAGAGTAATAATAAACGAGCCACGGTCAGGGATGTCAGAAATCAGGAACAACGAGAATACAAGAGCCGAGGTCAAAGGAATACAGAAGGGAGAATAGTCAATTTATGCCAGAAGTCAAAATCCAAGAGAGCAATATGTAGAAAATGCACTATTGGGACTATGCAGAACAACAATAGGTCAATGAGACTCTCCCTAAACTCCCCTTAAGTACTGTGTTCCTTGATATATAGCCACGCCTCCAAAATGGTCGAATTTGACAGTTTTGGCGGGCCATGACGGCGCGTATGCGTCATGTCATAAAAAGCGGCAGGGCTATCACGGGCAGCGCGAGAACTGCTAGAAACAAGACTAGCTACTGGCAATGTCCCCAATTCCCTGCTGGATGGTGTCAGCTTGTGGCATAGCCTGTGCCAACACATATGGCACCCTGACAGGACCCCGCCTTCGAAAACCGCCCACAGGGCGGAAATGACCAGGACAGGTAGGAAAGGGGGAATGAAACAAAGGAGGATGTATATCAGAACCTTCAACCAAAGACCTGTTTACCGGACCATATCCCTTCCAATCCACCAGATACTGGAGTTTACCCCGGGATATCAAGAAGAGAAAGCATTTAATATTCCTTTTGCCCCTTCAACCTGAACAGAAGATGGAGGTACAACATGGTTGGTGAACCTATTACAAGTCAATGGTTTCAACAAGGATACATGGAATACTACTAATCACCCTGATAAAAGACAGGAGCAGCAAGTCTAAGCCTATCGGCATACTTTTTATCAAGAGCTGATTTGTGTAAAAGTAACTGTTGAGCCTGCTCCCAGGCCTTCTTTAGGTATTCCACGTTTTCGTCCACCATCGGCATTCCCCGTGAAGAAAATACAGATGGAAGAACTACAGGATGAAAACCATAGTTTAAGAAGAAAGGGCTATTTTGAGTTGCGTCAGAGATATTGTTAAGAGTTAACTCAGCCCACGGAAGCAAGCCAACCCAATCATCTTGATGAGCGGATTCAAAGCAATGTAAGTAATGTTCTATTCTTTGAATGCACCTTTCTGCTGCACCGTTAGATTGAGGATGATAAGCCAATGAGAATTTGAGTGTAATCCCTATTTGGGAACAGAAGGCTCTCCAGAATTGACACAAATTTAGAACCCCTGTCAGAGATTATTTCTTGAGGTATACCATGGATATGAAACACCTCTTTGGCAAGATAGTAGCCAACTTAGAAGAGGGCAATTTGGGTAAAGCATGCTAACATATAATCCTTGATATCTTTACGCAAGGATGGCCACCAATATTCTTTAGAAATGAAAACGTAAGTTTTACGTATACCTTAGTGACCTGCGATTTTATTATCATGAAAGCAAAGGAGTAACTCTCTCTGGTGTTCTAGGGGAACATACAATTTATCTTCAGGAATATTCTCCGGAGCTAAGCAATGATGCTAGAAACTGTAGGAGATTGTATACTTATTCAAGTATTAGCAATGATATGTTGCAAAGGAACTACAGAAGATTTGTTGGTCTCAGGGTATGCCGTAGGTTTGAACTGAATGGATAAAGCGTCCGCTTTAGAGTTTTTTTGACCCAGGTCTCTAGGTCAGAACGTAGGTAAACCTAGCCAGGAAAAGGGACCAATGAGCTTGTCTAGCTGACAAAATGGTTGGCTCTCCAATATAGGAGAGACTCTTGTGGTCAGTTAGTATGGTTATGGATAGATACAAAGAAAAACCCTGCCCCGGCAGCTTTTCTAATAAAACCTTTTTTTCAGGTTTTTCCTTATAATCTTCTAACGCCATATTTTCTTTAGCAGAGAGAGGGTATACAGTGCCTCTAGGAGGCATGGTTCCAGTAAGTAGGTCAATGGCACAATCATATGACCTATGAGGTGGCAACAATTCCTCTTTACCTTTATCAAAGACTTTTTTCACAGTTATATATTGTTCCAGTATCTCCGTGGACAAGGGAGACATAGTAGGAACATTGATAATGTGAATGGGGTGTAATTCAACACATCCCTTAAGACAATTGCGGCTCCAAAAAAACAATCTCGCCAATCTCCCAGTCAATAGATGGATTGTGTTTCCTTAACCAGGGGAACCCCAGCACCACTGGGAAAGTAAAAGTAATGTGTTGAAATACACAATGGACACATGAGTAATAATGGGTACCTGGAGTGGTCTACAATCTATCGCCTCAACGGCCAAGGGTGTATCCCTTAGCCGGGAAGGGAGAGAATTTTCTTTGACAAAATTCTGATCTATAAAATTCTCTGTGGCACCAGAGTCTATTAAAGCCATGGTATTGACCTTTTTGTTAATCCTGGTTAAGGTGATGTTAACTAGAAGCCTATGATCTTTATGATTAGCTTTGGAGGACGAAGAAGAGACACCTAAGGCCTGTCTCCTAGATGGACTAGGTGCGGGTGTTTTACCTGTCTGTTAGGGCAATTTAGGCAGAGATGTCCCCTTTGTCCGTAATACAGACACAGTCCTTCCGTTCGTCTGTATTGTCGTTCAGCCTCACATAATCTAGTTACACCCACTTGCATAGGTTTAGGTGATGAAAGTGCCATGGAGTCAGGGTTATTAAATACAGGGTCCATTCAAATAGGAACTCTTTTGAACTTATCTGGGGGTGTTCTGCCTTTATCTCATTCTCTCATCAATGCGTGATATAAAAGTTATAATTTCTTCTAAATTCTCTGGAAGATCTCTAGTAGCTATTTCATCTAAAATATTATCTGAGAGACCGTTTAGGAACACATCAACGAAAACTTGATTGTTCCAAGCAACCTCAGATGCTAGAGATCTAAACTTAAGGGCATATTCCACGAAGGTTCTGGTTCCTTGCTTAAGCCTAAGAAGAGACCTGGCTGCATTGGCCTTTCTACCGGGTGGGTCAAGAGTACGGCTAAATGCTTCAACGAACGTGGCATAGTTATATACCAGTAGGTTGTCATTCTCCCAGAGGGGATTAGCCCATGTCAATGCTCTCTCTCTACCAAAAGACATAATGAAAACCACCTTGGCTCAATCTGTAGGATAGGAACGTGGCTGGAGCTCAAAGTGAAT